AACGCTGCAGTGGTACTTTCAAAAGTTTACCCAGGTTATCATGACCCAGGGTTCACATTTCTGTATACTATTTGACATTGTTAATATTTGTATAGATATAGGCTACTAAAAATGAACATCGAGATGATTCATGCTAACTTTACGATGCGTCTATTTGCTGTGCTCTGTTGTTCTGTCAATAACAAACACACAATAGCAAACTCAATCGGCCATTATCACGCCACAATTGCCCCAAGAATCAATACAAAATTCCTGTCAGAGTTTACATCTTGAAAAATGACTTTTCACAATGTGGAAAACGTTTCTGGATGTTCTGAGACATCTAACAAACACAAAACATCTATTTATCGATGTTCATGATGAAAATTTACTTACTGAATTCGTGATGTTCATGAACAACTTCCTTTCGCGTGGAGTGTGGCCTTCATAGACGTGACACGAAAGTTCGACGCGCCCTCTGTCGGATTTCAGGTTTAGTATTTCCTCTCGATATTTTAGGTGGATATTAGGAAATGTCTCTATTAAATTAGTCAGATGAATACTTTGAAGGCAAAAAAATTGCGACAGTTATACTCATTGTGACGATGATACTCTAAAAGCTGCAGCTGTTTGCTCTTTTAAATGTAGTTATAGCTATAAAAAAATGCATCCTTGTGAACTACAAATAGTATGTAGTTTTGATGTTTTTCACATAGCGTTAATGAAATGCATCTCAACTATACCAAGTAGATAAATGGCATTCTAAAATGAAAAGAAAAAAATAATAATCAACTGAACAATTGCATATGCAGTAAGCACAGCTTTGTTTTTAGCCTTTTGGGGTAGAAAAGACCCAGTTATAAAAATATACTATAATATTGAATGAATAGTATATAGATAGTATATAAATATAATATAGATATACTGAAAATGAACATCCAAATGGTTCACACCAACTTTAAGATGCTGTGCTTTATTCTCTCAGAAACAAACACACAACACACAGCAGTGAGAAAACAGCAGATAAGAATGGACTTTTGCAAGTATGTATCATGGATCTATTTATATATTTGAGAGATGTATTTAGAAGTTCTGCAATTCACCTGCATCATCTCAAAAGGTCAGGTAATTAAAATGACACTGTTAAGGTTGAATGCAATATATGCAGTTTATCAGGATATAAGAAAAACGGTTTTTAAAAAAAAATAAAAACTGCTTTTATTCTAGCCGAAATAAAACAAATAAGACTTTCTCCTGAAGAAAAAAAATTATTAGACATACTGTGAAAATGTCCTTGCTCTGTTAAACATCATTTGGGAAATATTTTAAAAAAAGAAAAAAAAATGTATGTATGCATGTATGTATGTATATATGTATATATATATATATATATATATATATACATACATACTTACGAACCAGTACAATACGAACCAGTGACGTTTTTGCTTTGAGGTAACTGCACTAATTAAAAAAAATAAATAATTAAAAAAAATTTTATATATATATATATATATATATATATATATATATATATATATATATATATATATATATATATATATATATATATATATATATATATATATATATATATTTTTTTTTTTTTTTTTTTTTTTTTTTTTTTTTTAATTAGTGCAGTTACCTCAAAGCAAAAACGTCACTGGTTCGAGTTTCAGCTGGGCCAGTAGCCTTTCTGTGTGGTGTTTACATGTTCTCCTGTGTTTGCGTGGGTTTCCTCTAGGCAGGGTGCGAATTATACATTGACAATTGGGGGGTCAAGTTTTTTAGTTTATGTTGAGTGGTTCTTAATGACATTTGTGATTTTAAATAAATGGTAACAGGTTTGCTTTCCTGCACCTATTAAAAGATCACCATGAAAGACTGCACATATTTTATATTTCACAATTCACTTGTTTGTGGCAGCCATAGTATAATAAAATACAAATTATGCATCAAGTTCTACAACACCTTTTTTAAAGAAACAAGTTTTGTGAACACTTGTTGTCTGTTGGTGCTCTAGATTTGCCGGTTTCAAACCAATTAATTAATATTTTTTTAATCATTTTATTTTTGGCAAAAATATGCATTCACAATGGTATGAACCATAATAGCGGTGGTCTGTTAAATTCATATCAGTTATTTTTATTATTAATATTATTAAAGATACAGATCAGAGCAAACCATTTCTTAACTTTTTAAAGGGCAGACCCCACATCCATCTTGTTTTGATGTCCATCATGGGGGATTAAGACTTATTTAGGGGGGTCAGACCCCCCCAAATCCCTCTATAATTCACACCCTGCCTATAGGTGCTCCAGTTTTCCCCACAGTCCAAACACATGAGCTACAGGTGAATTGAATAAACTAAATTGGCCATAGTGTATGAGTGTGTGTGTGTGTGTGTGTGTGTGAATGAGAGAGTGTATGGATGTTTCCAGTACTGCGGGTTCATGAGTTAGTGTACTCTTAATGCTGGGTTGCTGCTGGAGGAGCATCCTCTGCGTAGAACATATGCCAGTGTAATTGGCAGTTCATTCATTCATTCAAAAATGGTGATGGAATAACATTATAAAATACTCACTGCAAAGAAAAAAAAAACTTTAAAACACACTTTGCAAAAGTACACAAGGTGGATATTTGGAAACTGTTTGTACAAAAAAATTCAGACTTTTTTTATTTGTAATTATTTACATTGCGGCGACACAGGGACATGATGGGTAGCGCTGTCACCCCACAGCAAGAATAGCTGGTTTGAGCCCTGGCTGGGCCTGTTGGCACTTCAGTGTGGAGTTTGCATGCTCTCTCCATGTTTGCCTGGGTTTCCCCTGGGTGCTTTGGTTTCCCACATTTGTAGACATGCACTACAGGTGAAGCTAAATTGTCGATAGTGTATGTGTATATGTCCTGGTCCTTCAGATTGTAGGTTGAGCACTGAGCTAACAACTCACCTAATAAAAACTAGATGTTATGAAACACGAATATGGTGCAGCTAAATATCAACTTCGACATAAAACAGCCCTGGGAGTAAGTTATTTAAATTGGCTAAATATCACAAATGACACCTTCTTTTGGGGCAAGTGTGACCCTGAAATGCCATAGGTGCCATTAACAAGACTTCATGAATGTGAAATCTCTTTGATCAGACTCTCAGGGCTCTATTTTGACGATCCATGTGCAAAGTGCAAACCGCAGGCCGCAAACGCTTTCAGGGCGTGTCAGAATCCACTTTTGCTAATTTAAGAAGTAAAAATCCGCTTTGTGCCCTTGCGCATGGTCTAACAGGGTTAAGCTTATTTTCTTAATGAGTTATAGGTGCGTTTTGAGAATAAACCAATCAGAGTGTCATCTCCCATTCCCTTTAAGAGCCAGTTGCGTCGCGCCATAGCCATTTGCTATTTACATGACGACTTTGTAAGTGGAAAAACATTTCACTAGCAATAAAACAGTTAAAAATTGCATCTGCAGCGCAAGAATGAGAGATAAGCCTCCACTATCTACTTTTACTTTAGCTCTCGTGGATAGGGAAACCTTGTACACACAGACAACCATTAGCATATAAATAATGAATTTTGTTTGTTAAGCGCAAATAATGGTTGAAAACTGTTTCTAAATTCAATTCTAATTTCCAGCAAACGAATAAATGAACAATAATAACGAAGTGTGGTCAAAAAACTGAGTTATATCCAACTATACATGCTGTGCCCCATATGGTCTGAGACCTGAAAGGTGGGCAAACCTAAGCTTGTTTTAATAAAACAAATATAAATATGGATATAATAAATAATACTGCTAATAATAATAACATTATACAAAAGCAAATTGTTATGGTGGTTTTAATATTTATGTAAGCTAGAAAATAATATGTTTTGTACTATTTTAATCCTTTATATTCATATCCTATCTTTATTATATCCTATATATCCTTAATATTTTAATTCTTTTTCATATGTAAAGATATTTGCGTATTGCTCTACATCATGTGTGTTTTAAGCAGTAAGCGAGGCGCACAACTAACGCGCTCTGTACTCAACAATAGACCGGCTTTGTTCTGGTCTTTTGAAAAATCTATTATAGTTTCTCAAATTAGCAACACGCCAGCAATGTGCCTCAGAATGCCTTCCTTTTTAGACCAGAACTGTCACGGTATGGGGGTGGATGGAGAGGAGGCGAGGACCCAAATGCAGGAAATGAAGGATTTTATTGAAAAAATAAAACAAAAACAAAACTCAAATCTCCCCATGTGGGGAAAAACACAACATTATATTATATACTAAACTAGACTTGGTCTAGAACTAGGCAAGACACAAAACTTGTGTTTTGCCTAGAACTAGGCAAAACACAAAACCACTGTTGTAGAACCGGAATCAGCAGACCTCATACAACAGGGAAAGGAAACAATCAACAACGGACCAGCACAGAACATTGCACACTAGGAGAATAAATAGGAAAGACAAACCAATTAACAGACAGGCGGACAGGTGAAAATAATAATTACAAACAGGATAACAAGGTGGGTGGGACCAGACAATAGACGGGAGAGCGCATGACAGAGACGAGACTAGCCATGCGCTCACATAAAACAGGACAAGAACATGCAGCCAATGAGAGAACTCATTAAGCGCATGTTCATGACAAGACAAACACAACACTGAAGCACATGACAAAAGCCCGTGACCACAATGTAAACAACAAGCCACGTGCTTTGACAACAGACTCAAGACACGAGCACACGATGAATGAAAACACTCACCGTGCGCTCATACACGCAGCGTGCATGCTTCATCCCAGCGCCGACCAAAACCGAAACCAACAAGACTGAGACGCTGGGAATGAAACACCACGCTGCTGACAGACGAAAACACAAACACGAGTACAAGAGCGCGCACGTCTGAAGGACGCAGAGCGCGCGCGGCCGCATCAAGCGGGAGCGCGCACACTCTGCGTACACCCACGACGGCGCGCGCACACACAGAGACAGAAACAGGACCAGACATGGGTAGTGTCCGAGCTCTGCCACCAAAACAAGAATTTACAAGACCAGAGTGGCAGAACCCTGCCAAGAACGCCTATGGGTGCACATATGAGCGCAAATCCATTTGCTATTCGAACAGCTTGGCGCAAAACATCAAAACGACTATTGCGCCAAGCTGAAACTAGCAAACAACAATTGCGTCGCACCTTGCGCCAAATTGCGCCAGGTGTATGATAGGGCCCAAAGTGTGTTTTAGGCAGCACTTTTACCTATTTTTCTGTTAAGTATGCGCATAATATTTAGACTAGCACTGAAGATGCGGTCATGCTGGAAGATCATTTTATAAAACGCATCTATGGGTAGTCGTCCGGTTGGATCAGCATGTTTCATGGCAGTCAATGGCATGTACAAACGATTGGTCTGATGACGAAATGGAGGATTCTTAGACAAAATCAGCCGGGTAGTTTGCTGTAAGACAGAAAAGACAGTTTTATGTCACTTATTTAAATAGGGACTCATAATGACCAAAAAAACAACCCATTTGCAGTGCACTCCTACCTCTGCAACCTCCTCAGGCGTCTGTCCGATTGAATGAAAAACTCTGCGTGAATATGGCAGGTAGATCTGTCGGAAGATTTGAGCTGTCTCCTCATCGGTCTCAGACAGATCCATCGTCTCTGCCTCTTCATATACTTTCCTCTCAAACTCAGTTACAACTGGGCCAGGCTCCACTAAAGTCATCCTGCAAGAGATGTGCTGCATATAAGCCACGATTTCAACACATGCATGGTTTTGAATATATAACAGAATATGAAACTGTAGTGCATATTAAAGAAACATTAACACTGCCCAAAAGTAATCTCCAGCCCTAAATTTACAAATAGTGGTATAAGATTGATGTACATTTTGTAAACATAGTAGTTTTAATCTAATTAAATTTTTAGTCTATAATATGTTGCCATGAGAGAGTGTGGTGGTGTGGAGGGGGATGTTTAAATAAAACATAGACCCTATTTAATTAAAATTCTAGCATCATTATAACCAAATGTTGTATAATATAATGTAATTTATCACCCTTTACTATCATTTTTCATTAGTTAAAGAATTTTCTAATATGAACTAATACTGAACAATACTTGTACAGCATTTATTAACAATAGTTCAACAATTATTAATCCAAATTTGAGCTTGTTGACATTAGTAAAAGCACAACGAGTTAACAAACTAACATTCAACAACTTTATGCATTAACAAACGTTAACAAAGAATGAATAAACACAGTATTCTATTTATTGCCCACTGTTTGTTCATGTTAGAAAATACATTAACTAAAACAACCTTATTGCAAACTATTACTGTAATTTGTATCATGTAAACAGATTCCTAAAACAGACCTGCAGCCAGGGGGGTTTGCGAAGTTTGAAAGACCCACGTCTTCACTGACAAAGGTCCAGAATTTGTCCCATACAGGAGAGCATATGTCTTATTTTGACTGCAATGCCACCGTAAATTGTGAATAACTCATCAAAAAAGGCTTTAAGACCAAGTAGAATCTTTTGTTGACTGCGCCCTTCGGCGTGACTTCAGCTAACCAGTTTTAACCAATACAAACAACAGTTTTTTAGTCCATCATCCAGCTGTGCAAGATAAAGTCACCTTTCACTACTGACAGGGGTGCAAAAAGAGGGTATGCAGTACACACGGCACATAGGGGCGCCACACATGGGGGGGCGCCATTGTGCCAAAACTATTTTTTAAAATCTTTTTTATATCCTTATTAAAAGATTGAATAATAAAAAATAATAAATATGTTTTGTTAAAAATGTTTATTTTGCATTTTTAACCAGTATAATATTGTATTTTATTAAATAAAAAATTATATTCTGAGTTACATACGTTGACACACACGTTTAATTCCAAATCATTTAAAACAATAACATGCAGTCACACAGCCAAGTGTTCATGTAGATGTAACTGTTTAGATTTAAAAAACAAATTTTTATCAAAACAAACTGTCAAATCATACATACACTACAGTTGAGGTCAAAAGTTATGAGAATAATCTGAAAAAATGTTCTTTATTTATTTATTATTATTTGTTATTAATTATTTTGCCAAAATAAGAGGGATTACACAAAATGTTTGTTTATGTTAGTACAGACATCAATAGATTTCAAATAAAATTGAAAATATTATTTGGATGAAGAATTTCCTCTATATGAATTAAATATACTTGATTATAACGATTCTTAACCCTGTTAAAACTGACACAAGAACAAACAGTCAGAATATTCACCTTTTTTAGAACTGAAATGTTTAATAATACTTCTATCAAGATCTATTGCTTGCTTGGTTTTGGGACTTGTGGAGCTGCGCATCGATGGGTTTGCTCATCAGTGTTTGGACTTTCAACAGTGAAAATTAAACTACACTGAACTGAACTAAACTGAACTTCAACTCTAAAAACTGGACTGACAGTTTCAATTTACTAGAACTTCTATGTTAAGCTGTTTTGCCACAATCTACATTGTAAGCAATAAAGCTTACAATAAAGATGAATGAAGCAATAGCAATAAAGATTAATTGAATTTAATTGAATATGCTTTAAACAATCTAATCTAAAATATCATTAAGTTTACACTTTTATTGTACATAAGAGATGGAAATAAGAGTGAAATGTGGTTAAATGCATGGTTTAGAATAACAGTAACCCAGGCTGAAGTGTGATGTCAAATGATAAGCCAGCACTTAAAGGGATACTTCACACAAAAATTTACATTACCTCATAATTTATTCTCCCTCCAGTGGTTTTATACCTTTTGAGTTTTCTTTCTTTCTTTCTTTCTTTCTTTCTTTCTTTCTTTCTTTCTTTCTTTCTTTCTTTCTTTCTTATTTTAAATAATGCTTGCTGATCTGTCACCCATTGACTTCCATAGTAGGAAAAACAATTCAGAATATTGTCTTTTAGGGTCAACAGAAAAGCAAACTTTGAAATGGTTTGGTTGGCATTGTGGCTCGGTAGTTAAACATGCCAGAATAGTTGGTGGTTCATTCTGCTTGGTGAATTCTAAATAAGGTACTAAGCTGAAAGAAAGTGAACGAACAAACGGACAGACGGAAGGACGACCGAACCAACAAAGTAGATTTTAAATAAGTAAAGGGTGTGTAAATTGTAAAATAATTTTTATTTTTGCGTGAACCATCCCTTTAAATCAGTGAATTATTTATATGTATTATGAACTCACTTGACATTGAACTTCATAGCTTGTACAGCAAGACTCTCACAAAATCCTTCTACAGCAAATTTGGAAGCAGCATACAAATCATTGAAGAGTAGCCCTGCATGGGGAAGGAAAAACTTTCAGTATTCAACTATTTTTTGCGGCTTATAATAAATTAGCTGTGTTTTTTGTTTTTTTTTACCCTGTATGCCCAGAACGCTGCTCATCACTATGATGTGTCCACTCTGACGCTTCTTCATTTGGGGCAGCAGCTCTTTGACCAGTCTCACCAGACCAAAGAAATTCGTATTGAAGAGATCCTGCATTGAGCTCATACTCTGGCACTCCAAAGGACCAATCATACCCACGCCGGCATTATTCACTACAAAACAATCAAACACGATGTCAGAAAATATTCAAAATACATACGTTTAAAAGTACAGTTCAACCAAAAATGAGGAGGAAACATTTTTCACACTTCCATGCAATTTCAATCATTTATGTGTCTTTGCCGAACATGAATGAAGATATTTAAAAAAAAATGTCTTTTAATGAGGGTTTAATTCAATTGAGCACAAATAAATTTTATCCTGGTCTGTTTGGTTGCAGATAAAAGGGAATCATATATTTCTGCCACAATATTTAAAAACTGACAGGCAAATAGGATATCCAATCATATTGTTTGGACCAAACATTTTGAACGGACAAACTTTTCTTGGTCCTACACCTTCCACATCAATCCCCTATTGTACCTTTAAAAGTGCAATAAGTGAGTTTTCTTTTTACTGATAAGTTATATTTTTTCCAAATATATATATTTTTTTACATTTTTAGTGCAAAAACATGTCAGAAAATGACATTAAGTAGAAAGATAGTATCTATCATACATGTAATTTGAGTTCTGTACCCCACAGGAAAAAATGAAAAATAAAATAAAAATAATAGTAAATAAAATTTAATTGTAATTAAATAAACAACAAGTAAATAATAATAACACTAATAATAATAAAAATAATAATGACAAAAAAAAACAATATAACATTGCAAAAAGGCATATTACATTTCTTTTGTCCAGGCTGAGTTTAACAGACAACTTTTAGTCTTAGAGACTTAGAGGTTCCTAGATACAAAACAATCAAACACGATGTCAGAGAATATTCAAAATACATACGTTTAAAAGTACAGTTCAACCAAAAATGGGGAGGAAACATTTTTCACACTTCCATGCAATTTCAATCATTTATGTGTCTTTGTCGAACATGAATGAAGATATTTTGAAAAATGTCTTTTAATGAGGGTTTAATTCAATTGAGCACAAATAAATTTTATCCTGGTCTGTTTGGTTGCAGATAAAAGAGAATCATATGTTTCTGCCACAATATTTAAAAACGTTGACAGGCAAATAGGATATCCAATCATATTGTTTGGACCAAACATTTTGAACGGACAAACTTTTCTTGGTCCTAGACCTTCCACATCAATCCCCTATTGTACCTTTAAAAGTGCAATATGTGAGTTTTTTTATTGATAAGTTTTTTTTTTCCAAATATATATATATATATTTTTATTTTTAGTGCAAAAACATGTCAGAAAATGACATTAAGTAGAAAGATAGTATCTATCATACATGTAATGTGAGTTCTAACCCCCACATGACAAATAAAAATAAAATAAAAATAATAGTAAATAAAATTAAATTGTAATTAAATAAACAGCAAGTAAATAATAATAACACTAATAATAATAAAAATAATAATGACAAAAAAAAAAACAATATAACATTGCAAAAAGGCATTTTACATTTATTTTGTCCAGGCTGAGTTTAACAGACAACTTAAGAGACTTAGAGGTTCCTAGATACACAACAATCAAACACGATGTCAAAGAATATTCAAAATACATACGTTTAAAAGTACAGTTCAACCAAAAATGGGGACGAAACATTTTTCACACTTCCATGCAATTTCAATCATTTATGTGTCTTTGTCAAACATGAAGATATTTTGGAAAATGTCTTTTGTTGAGGGTTAAATTCAATTAAGCACAAATCAATGTTATCCTGATCTGTTTGGTTGCAGATAAAAGGGAATCATATAAACTTAAAATGACATAAGAAAAAAAAATGATGTCTCTAAAACAGTGCTTAAGCATCCCAAGGTAAATTTGACACAAGTGTGAAAATATATAATTAGTACACTATTATCTTGTACTATTTTATTATCTATTTATATTATATTACATTGCGACATACACCTTTTTGCTGCTTCCTTCGGTTACTCTATTATGTAACCATAGCTTTCTGCCACAAGTAGATGTCATCAGGTGGTTTTCAACCTTCCCTGAGTTTTTCGACCCTTACCACAACACTCTCCAGCTGGAGGGTCGGCAGTGGTAGCCAAGCCACTGCCCATCTACTCATGGCTTCCAGCTCTTCTCCTCTCTCTTACTCCATAGCCAGTATGAAGCTTGTTCTGCTTCTTGTCCCATCCTGCGAGCAGCATGTTTCTTGCTTTTCTCCTCCATGCCTAAAGCTGTCATCAGTCGCCATTCTGACTTTGCAGGAAAGCCTCTACACCCTACCTCCACAGAAAACAGCCATGCCTGCCAACCTTTGTTTTTCCACTCCTGAATTAATGGTGTGTACTTTAAGGCCTTCCTCTCACGAGCCTCTTCACAACCCTCACAGTCAGCTCTATTCAAATCATTTATAGTCTTTGTCTGGCCACAAGACAATATCTGGACGAAGAGCTGTATGAATCACTTTTGGGAACTGCTGTTTTCTTCCAACATCAACTCTCAATTGCCAATCACCTGTGGCTTGTAGCCAGCATGAATTAGCTACTGCCCAAGCTGCAAGCTCCAGGCCTTGCCCCCTTCTTGATAAAACTGATGGTTTCCTTATCTATACTGCCATGCTTCGTCTTGCGCCTCTCCTGCTCAATTGAATCAGCAAGGATCAAGAGCTCCTTGTCATGACGCCACCTATGTCAACCCTGGGTTAAAGTCGTTTTACACCCTGACCTTTTTGCCACATAGCTTGGAGTATGGGTCGTCTCTCAACCCCCACATGTGCAAATGAGATGGTGACTGGAGGGTGTCATATACAGAGTGCAGCATTAAAGAGATGCATACAATATTAATCTGATTTAATACTTTAAAATAGTTAAAGTCCGTAATTAGGAACCACAAACTCTAAATCTTGTGAAAATAGGCTGTCAAGTACATATTTCATACTCTAAATTGTAAGAATGGTGCTACAAGTGATTACACAAATAGTCTAATGTCTACTAGAATCAATTTCTGTTATGACCCATTTCACATTTTACAGAAATTCATCATCCAAAGCCACTAATCCTGAACGCATGAACACACACTAGATAACATCACTACAATACATCACATTACATTCACTAGAGAGAAAAATATTTTAGTACAGTAATTACAATACCCAACTTTAAAAAGAAGGTTGTTTCTTAATGCTTGCTGTTATTCTCTTTCTAAAGCTCTGTCTGAATTGTATGTGATAATACAGGCTTGTATGCAGGGGGTGTTTGGTTGTTTTGAAAGACCCACCCCTCACTGACAAAGGTCCAAAATTTGTCCCATACATGAGCTCATTTGTCCTATTTTGACTGCTATGTCATCATAAGTTGTGAAAATAAACAATCGAAGAAGGCTTTAACACCAAGCATAATGCTTTGTTGGCTGTCGCTTCAGTGACTGAGGAAAACTGAATGTGCTGGCCAGTTTGTTATTTTAATTAATGATATTTATATCACGGGCTAGGCAGTTGCGCAGTAGGTAGTGCTGTCGCCTCACAGCAAGAAGGTCGCTGGATCGAACCTCGGCTCAGTTGGCGTTTCTGTGTGGAGTTTGCATGTTCTCCCTGCCTTCGCGTGGGTTTCCTCCGGGTGCAGTACAGGTGAATTGGGTTGGCTAAATTGTCCGTAGTGTATGAGTGTGTGTGTGAATGTGTGTGCGGATGTTTCCCAGAGATGGGTTGTGCTTGGAATGACATCTGCTGCATAAAAACTTGCTGGATAAGTTGGCGGTTCATTCCGGATTAATAAAGGGATTAAGCTGACAAGAAAATGAATGAATATTTAAATCACGATATGCTAGTTTTTAATTTAAAACTTTAACAGATTCCTATTTTTTTCTAATGACATATGATGTAAATTTGTAATTAAAATTAAGTATTATTCTCATATTTCTTCATTTTAAATCTTTAAAAAAATGTTTTTGGTCCATCAAAGTGTAGTTATGATGACAAGTCAACCAGCTTATCCACCAAAAAACTAATGCTTAAAATGTTACTAAAATGCAACCTATTTAAACTAATTAAATTAAAGAATGAGGTGAATGACTGCAAAAAGAAACACCCCTTTTCACCAGCCTGGCTACTGGCCTGTATTATAAAATTAAAAAACTTTAACAGGCAAATAGGATATTCAATCATATTGTTTGGACCAAACATTTTGAACGGACAAACTTTTCTTGGTCCTACACCTTCCACATTAATCCCCTATTGTACCTTTAAAAGTGCAATAAGTGAGTTTTCTTTTTACTGATAAGTTGTATTTTTTCCAAATATATTTTTTACATTTTTAGTGCAAAAAGATGTCAGAAAATTACAATGAGTAGAAAGATAGAATCTATCATACATGTAATGTGAGTTCTGACCCCCACATGAAAAAATTAAAAATAAAATAAAAATAATAGTTAAAAAATTAAATTGTAATCAAATAAACAACAAGTAAATGATAATAACACTAATAATAATAAAAATAATAATGACAAAAAAATACAATATTACATTACAAAAAGGCATATTACATTTCTTTTGTCCAGGCTGAGTTTAACAGACAACTTTTAGTCTTAAAGACTTAAGAGGTTCTTAGATAAACAGAGAGTCCCAGGTCCGATAAAATAGAAAAGATTTGTTCTTCATAGCTGTGGAGAAAGCCTCAAGTGAAATTATGATGCAGACTGCAAGCAGCCATTGATTTGAACAGGGTGGTTCTTCATTAATTCACTTTACAAGGTTACATTTCCAAGCAAAGTAAATCAAAATATGTAGTAGGTCCCTGTTCCAAAGATTATAAAGTTTATCATCATTGAGGCCCACTAAGCAATTCTTTGGTCCCAGTCGAAATGTACATTTAAAGATGGCGTCGAGCTGTAGTCTAGTCCCAAAACTGCTGTATATAAGGATAACTCCACATACAATGATGAAATTTCCAATGTCTAATTTACATTTCACACACAGCTCAGACAGACCTGGATTCATTTTATGTCTAACCTCAGGTGTAATAAACAGTATATGTAAAATTTTAAATTGTCTTTCCCAGGCAGAATTTGAGACTTACACACCAAGGGGGTTGCTACACAGATCCAGCTAGGAATCATTGTCAATTACACTATTCAGATGAGCTACCCATTTACACTTACGTGAGTCAAGATTCTCAGTTTTAATATTACAAAGGATGTTATAGACACGCCGTGTGATACATTTGACCTGCTTCTCAATGGCCAGAAGTGATTCAACTGGGGAAATACGAAATCCTCCTGGGTAATCTCTATATTTTATCAAAATAAAGTTTCAAACCTGTAGCAGCATGTAAGTTTAAGACCCATTGGTTGAACTAGGTATTGCATTTCTTGATCAAAACAAATGCAAGTGCGGGTTGTCAGATTGACAACCAACAGCGAGTCTGACTATCAAGCCTAAAGGTTGATTTAAATTGTGTTCTAAATAAAAGCAACGCCACCCGATAGTAGAAATGTTTTCCATTTTAAAGGTGTTTTTGTTCTAAATAACACCTGAAATTTATATATAAAAAATGGTTTGCATTATTTGCAGCTGAACAACAGAAACCTATGAAAATGATCAGCTCAGGTACACCTCATGTGCATAATTGAGTGTTAAATGCTAATAATGTGAGTTTGAATGCCGTTTTACATGACATTTATTGCCATATGAAACCAGCAGCAAATAGTTCACCTCAGATCTTGAAAATAAAATAAAAAATTGACAATTAGTACTGTGACTAAAACCAACACAGCGATTTAGCATGTACATTTAATAATGCTTGAGGTTTAATATGTATTATTTAGATTATAAACTTTACCATTTTGTTGGAATGCAGTAAGTGCACTATTTTGTGCTTCTGAATGGCTGCATTTAATTTTCTGTCCGTTTCATCTGGTGCAAACAGCCCAATTGTTTATCACTGCAAACCTCGTTACTTAGCGTGTTGTTAGGACACAGGGTTACAATGTAACCTGCTCACCTAATGTTTACGCTCGTAATATTTGTAGTATTTACTGACTAAAAACTTTATCTGGAACTCTAAATCTGCGTCTCATTTTGGAGTCTGCTACTGTCCACTAGAGGTCTCATTTTGTTCATGAATGCATGCTTTGAGTGTCTTCCTGACTGACTGAATGAAATATGTGGTTTTCCACCAAGAGAAACTGGGGCGCTGAAATATAATTAGCTAAACTGGCATTGGCCGGGTTAAAAGAACCAAATTAAAGACAGATGTTTCAGCACGCAATGCACATTTTCAAAGCATATCTGACATAAGCATTGTTTTTCAGATAAACACGTATGTTCAAAACGATCAGTTTCACCTAACACATCCACCTGTCGATCTGGCAGGCTGTTCACACAGTCTCTGATGGAGTCCTCACAGGTGGCGTCGAGCTGCCGGATCTCCAGAGATCTGTTAAGCGTTTCTCCAGCTGCTCTCTCCAGGGCTTCTCTCCTGTCCAGATCCCTCATGGTGGCCACAACTAACTCACAATCAATAACAACACTTAAAATAACATTATTACAGTATGTAATTATTATTATCATTTAGTAATGCATATAAAGTTGAAGTCAAAAGTATTAGCCCTTGTGTGATTTTTTTTCTTTTTCAAATATTTGCTAAATGATGTTTAACTCATTTAGGAAAATCCATTAAGGATTTTTCTCTTTTGCCCAAAATCATTAAAAATGTAAGAAAAAAATCCTGTTCCATTAAGACATTTTAAAAGATTATCAGCAGATCATGTCTACATGCCTAAATGCACTGTTACATCTATTTGATTGGTTTATTAAATTAATGAGGTTTTGAATAAGTGGATGTAATAAAATTACAATACCTAACCTGACACATAAAATAATGACAAACATTCATTATTCAATACTATTAGTTACCCTTGAAGCGCCTTAATTCATCTTTGGCCAGACGGACAGCCACCGCCAACCCAATTCCAGAGGAGCAACCTGTCACCAGAACTTTCCTTGTCCCCATAACTTCAGCTGAAAGTTAAATTGATATCCTTTGGTAAGAATTCATATGCCAATACAAATATTAAACATACGGTAACATGATTAATTGAAACAGCAGTGCTAAGCTTAAAAATTAACCATGGTTTTACAATTTAAAACAATGTTGTACATTAAAACAATTATTCATTGAATTTACTCAATGTTTTTAAGGTAAGTAGTTGCAAAATATTTTATATGGGCTGAACTTAAACAAATTAAAGTTATCAATGTTCAACTTAATTTGAACTTCAACTTAAAGTCCAAATGAATTGTTTTCTACCACTCACCCTAAAAATATTAAGTAAATTCCAATTAATTTTTTTTTCAGTGTAGTCTAACCACACATTAAACATAATCCTGCTATATTAGCCATAATTCAACTGTTATTTGTTGTAAATCTGTAATTATACAAATGGTAATCAATACACACAAACCCTAACACACACACACAACACATAACTAACCCTAATACACACACACACAATGCACAACTAACCCTAATACACACACACACACACACACCAAACTCTACACACACAAAATCATGGTTGCTAAACTTCTACTTCAATAACAAAGTGCTTAATTTTATATGGCCGTAAAATAAGGCAAACTGTATTACAGTTATAGTCACTGTAACGTTTAAATGAGGAAGGTCACATTTTATACGGTGAACATTTAAAATGCATAGCTCTACAGAACACACACTACACGTTTCTGGACTACAAATTAAATCCTAATCAGATTATCTCAGCAAGAGAGCGCACCTCATGTGCGCGCTTTTAACTCAGTTTAATAAGGGTTTAACGCAATTTCAAATGTAAAACCGCATGACAAGTGCTATTTTTCATTTTGTTGACACGTTGTAATGTTAAGCATTCAAAACATCTCTGACAGTTATTTTCACCGCGTGCAAAGCAAAACAGAGATACAAAAGCTTAGTGGTGAGGAAACCAGTTTGGAGTGTTCTGGGACACGCACTTACTGAATGCGAGTAAACCGTCTGTTTGTTAGCAGGTACAGACCCGTGTCCCGCTGACAGAGCTGCTCCTGTCGCCCACAGACACCTGTTCTGCTCTGCTCGAGCGCCTCTGATAGAAAACAAATCATGTTGCAGAGCTTACGTTGCTCCTCAGACCGAGAACCCTGGGAGTTGAAGTCTTTATTTGGCTGTACAGCATATCTGACATAATAAAAATAATAACAATAATAATAATAATAATTATTATTATTATTATTATTATTATTATTATTATTATTATTATTATTATTATTATTATTTTATTTTTTTATTGTTGTTGTTGTTGGTATTATGTTGTTGTTATTATTATTATTATATTTTAATAATCAACCAATAATAATATTTAAAATAATATTTTTAATTTATTTAATATTAAGGTAAAAACAAATGATTAATCCTATAATTTAATTTGGGATGAATAATTAATTAAAAAATATGAACATTTTATAAAATATTGCTTCAATGCTACAAAATGATGCATTATGATGGGTGTTTGTGCTCAAAAGATTTGAATTCACTGACAGCATAGCAAAGCTGACATAATAATAATAGTAGTAGTAGTAATAATAATAATAATAATAATAATAATAATAATAATAATAAACAATAAACTAAACAAAAAACTAAATGTAAAATTATATTATTTTCTTTATTTACATAATTTGAATATTTATAAACATTATAAGAAAATTTGCATGATGGGCATTTGTGTTATTTTTTAGTAATAATAATGATAATAATAATACCAATAATAATATAATAATAATAATTATTATTATTATTATTATTATTATTATTATTATTATTATTATTATTATTATTAATGTTTTTCATATTGTTGTTAATGATAATGGTGATGATGATAATGATAATAATGTTGTCAGGCTATATATAATTATATAATTATACATAATAAAGAAGAATTGTCGAATTCATTAAATTTGGTAGGCATTCATTTTGGTTTATTCTGCTGTGGCCACCCCTGATTAAGAAAAGGACTAAGCCAGAAGAAAATGAATAATGAATGAATGAATAATTTTTGTATATATTTTAAAATTCATAAGTAATATAACATTTTAAATGTTAATAAGACAACTATTATTATTTACAATTTATGTAAATTGTTGGTTCAGGGCTAGGCTATAAACAAACATGCAATAATGACAATGCAAACTGGATTTTATTAGATTATTTTGGAGTTTCTACCATAGTGCCATACAAAATTAAAATGACACAAGGAAGGACATCAAACTCTCTGAAACAAGAGTCAGACCTCCTTCGTACATATTCAGTCGATACGTTTGTAGTAAAATACAAAACAGATACCAATACTAACTGTTTCCTTTGTAAGCAACACCCAGAGTCTCTAGTTTACTTATTCTGGCAATGCAGATACTCTAATTTGCGTTGGAAAGACTTTTCCCTTTTTATAATTAAGAACATTAATTAAGACTTTTCCTTACTGTGGGAAAATGTTTTATTTGGTTTTGTTAATTGGAAAACAGGGACTTCAACATAAAAATAAAAGGTATTTTTTTTTATCTTTTTATTTCACAATCAAAATTGTATATACATAAATATAAATTTACAAAACTTTTTTCTAACTTTATTATATCAAAAGTTAAAACTAATAAAGAATGTAATAAATGTAACAAAGAAGTTTTTACTTTAAAAACAAAAACTGAAATTTGTAAATTATATAATTCATTGTACAATAATATATCCCTTGCGTATTCATTCATAAATTTTCTTTTCGGCTTGTCCCTTTATTAATCAAGGGTCGCCATAGCAGAATGAACCACCAACTTATCCAGCATATGTTTTACACAGCGGATGCCCTTCCAGCTGCAAACTATCACTGGCAAATAAATACAAATAAACTATTCACTTACATACACTACGGGCAATTTAGCTTACCCAAATTCACCAATACGCAAATCTTTGGACTTGTGGGGGAAACCGGAGCACCCGAAGGAAACCCACGACAACACGGGGAGAATGCAAACTCCACACAGAAATGCCAACTGATTCGAACCAGTGTTCTTCTTGCTATGAGGCGAAAGCGCTACCCACTGCGATACCCCTTATTTATTTATATACTATTTATTTATTTTATACTGAACTGTGTTTATTGTCTCGCATTGTTTATAAAAAAAACAAAAGAAAAAAAAGACAATCCAACTGATAATTTTTAGTGAACAAAGAGTCGAATCCCTGCGATGAATCTTCCTACAGTCATGAGTGCTCTTGTTTAGTACTCGGTTTGTGGTCTGTCGACCTCTAGTGGTCATGTTGTGACATTCCTGGTCAAACTGAAAGTAATATTCCTCTGTATAACGCTAAGGAAACGGTACAGCACTAAAGGAGCTCTAGTGTTTTTGTATTTGACACCTAAACAGAAGCACACGCCTGAAAAATGAGTCGAATGCACGAAGAAGTGGAGGTACGGTATTTATTACTCTGGTAAACATACAGCTGAATGGCGTACGCTATTTGATACAATATGAAATGCTATCAAAGGAAGTACAGTGCAGTAACTTCCTTACCAGTCCTATATTTGATACAGGCTAAAAACAGATTGACACCTTTGCTGTTAGATATCTAATTTCTCTTTATTTGATATATCTACAGGGCGACAACCTTGAGTATTAAAAGCAGACATAACGAAGCTGATTTTTCAATAAACATAAATACATGTCAATTGTTTTTGTTCTCTTGATTTAGTTGGAAAAAAGTGTGAGGCGACTGAGAGAGAAGTTTCATGGACTAATAGAAATCGACACGGCTGTGCTGCTTATGCGACGATATGTGAAAAACCATCGTATGGTTGCAATGTGGATCGCCCTGATGGCAGATAATGACAGGGGTAAAGTGCAACCATTTTATCGCAACAAAACATGTCGTATAAGTCTGTTTTCTTTGTCATGTCAATGCCTTTTCCATTTATTCAAGTTATTTTGAATTTTTTAACTGCTATATCTTTTATATGTAGAGCTGGACGAGGAAGACCAGGCAGCTTTGAATAATGACCCAGTAGCTAAGGTGGTATTATTATTATTCAGGTGACAGAAAGCACTTTATGCAAACTTTGGAAAGAGAGCACACCTTAAATGCTTGTTTCTTATTTAATGCAATGGATTTTAAATAAGCACTGCTTGTATTGGGTTAATTGATGAACACATTTTCTGCTTTCATACAGAACGTGATTATGAAACTCAAAGCTGAAGAACAACAACAGGTAATGTCCCAACAATCTCTTAAAGAGACAGTTTCATTAAAAGATTTTATTTTTGTTTACTCACCCTCAGGCCATTTAACAAGTAGGGGGAGAGCGAGGCACAAAATAACACTTTTTGGTTTGGGTCAAAAAATGAACAAAGATATGGGGTTAGACAAACTGTATTTTTTTACCAACCACACTCAAGCCTTTCATACAAATGAGCACTGGTTGTATGATCGCAGGACCTATGGTTTCTGTGCAGTATTGTGAAAGTGCCAGGAGTATAAATGTTTCCATTTACCTCACCTACAAGGCAAGTTGTAACAGACAGAGGGTTAGCTGTAACACGTGCTTTAAAAGCCGGATTTCAAACAATTAAATTATATTTCGTTTACTTTAAATGGTCTATTTCCTCAGTACTTAACTAAGATTTTTTTTTCTAAATAGGGGCTAGGGCAGTGGTTCCCAACCTTTTTCTTAGGGCCCCCCACATATATATATATATAGTATGTGTGTGTTTGTGTAATATTAATATATAATATGTATAGAAAATATAAAATAATCAGTTTTAACTTGTCTTGGCCTTCAATAAAACCAAAATTTAGGTAGGCTTTGACATTCTGTCTAATCTTTTTCTTCGCCTCTGAAGAATCACTGCATTTACGTTTCTCTGCCATTTTTGTTTTGATTTTGCCTTTACGAGAAGTTGGACAACCACATTGCGCAAGTGAGCAAAATTTAAATAATTATTTAAAGTTATTTATTTTAATTATTTTTACTATTATGTAGGAATTTTAAGCATGTGTTTTGATTTTTTTTGGTACTTAAAAATACATATATAATAGTAGGGCTGCTCTATATTGGGAAAAATCATAATCACAATTATTTTGGTCATAACTGTAATCACGATTATTCAAAACGATTATCAGTTAAAGTCAAAATTATTAGCGCTCCTGAGAATTTTTTTTAAATAAATATTTCCCAAATTATGTTTAACAGAGCAAGGAATTTTAACAGTATTTCCTCTAATATTTTTCTTCTAGGCTTATTTGTTTTATTTTAGCTAGAATAAAAGCAAGTTTAAATATTTTGAAACCTATTTTAAGGTCAATATTATTAGCCCCCTTAAGCAATAAATATTTTTGATTGTCAGCAGAAGAAACTACTGTTATACAATGACTTGCCTAATTACCCTAATTAAGCATTTGAACTACACTTTAATCTGAATGCTTGTATTTAGAAAAATATCTAGAAAAATATTATGTACTGTCATCATAGCACATATAAAAGAAATCAGTAATTAGAAATGAGATATCAAAACTATTACGTTCAGAAAAAAAAACATAAAACAGAAATTGGGCAGGAAAAGTTAATATTCAGCTAATATTCAGGAGGGCTAATAATTCTGACTTCTTCTGCTAATAATTCTGTTTAGACATACAGTACATACAGTTATTTTCCACCCTGCAAAGGAAAGAGAAATAAATACAATTAAATAAAAATATGAAACAAACTGTGCTTTAAGCATCTTCACTGTAAGAAAAACATTTTAGCTACAGCAGTCCTTCAGTCAAGAGCAGCGGGGGTTTTCTCGTTATGTTTGTTTAATAATGATAAAAACAGGCGGCAGAAGGATTATAGCGCGCTGTCTCTTTAATGGTTTCTCTTTCACGTCTTTTGATTCTCAACTCGTTTGTTTATTACACAAATGAGGGCTAATATAAATAATCAAGAAACACCGCGTTTTGACACCTATTTGACCATTAAAGCGCTCACGTTAATGACTTTAGATGTCTGCGCTCCTCTGCTCGTCTCAGTGTGCAAATGAGAGCGAATGTTGCACACACACATTCGCGCTTTTAAGAGCAACGCGTGCACAACTGGAAAGGGGGCGGTATATGATGCATATAATCGTTTATCTTGACTAATGCTTTTTTATAATCGTTTTAAATCGAAATCAAATTTTCGATTAATTGTACAGCCCTATATAATAGTGGAGCATTTTTATGCCTTTTTCTACCTCAATACTTATCCTCTCCCGCGCCCCCTTGGACCCCAGGTTGGGAACCACTGGGCTAGGGGATGGCCACCGATTTGGCATCGTACGATGTCTAATGTGAAACATCACGATGAACGATGACATCGTCGTCATAGGCGGCGGTTAATTAATTATTTATAAATAATTAATTAGGTCATGGCGAAGCAGTGGCGTAGTAGGTAGTGCTGTTGCCTCACAGCAAGAAGGTCGCTGGTTCGAACCTTGGCTCAGTTGGCGTTCTGTTTTGAGTTTGCATGTTCTCCCTGCGTTCGCGTGGGTTTCCTCCAGGTGCTCCGGTTTCCCCCACAGTCCAAAGACATGCGGTACAGGTGAATTGGGTAGGCTAAATTGTCCGTAGTGTAAGAGTATGTGTATGTGTGTGTGGTTGTTTCCCAGAGATGGATCATGGCTGAAAGGGCATCTGCTGCATAAAAACGTGCTGGATAAGTTGGCGGTTCATTCTGCTGTGGATTAATAAAGGGACTAAGCAGACAAGAAAATTAATGAATGAATAATTAGTTCATAACAAATTAATTATTTTCAGCCTACCGTTTTAACTACCTGACCTGCATGGTCTTTGTTTTTTCCATGACCAAATCATAAATAAATAAGCTACACACAAATTACCACCTGTCAATCACTTTTTCTGCAGGAGTCTTGCATGAATAGGCAGAGTGATCTGTGTTGGTATAATGACGTCGACAAACTTGGTTGGTGAAAAAGGTGCAAAACTAACAGGAACCAACCAACAGTATCTGAAGTTTTCGCTAAAATTACTAAGTACAAGCGTGAAAGTGAAAGATTGCAGCAGCGTACTTTACCTGATACGTTTACAGGTTACCTGATAGATTCAAAAGACTGAAGAGTTGTTATATAGGGACAAGATTAATTAAGTATCACCTATAAGAACTATAGTTAGACCTGATCCAGCAGTACATCCTTGATAAACTTTCCGACATGCACTGCTCTCCGGGGTTTTGTGCTCAAAGCACCCGCTGACTGCTGGAGCTCAGACGGGCGAGTACCCTGCAGCATATGCCAGAGTGTGTGTGTTTGTGTTTTCACATGATGTGTGTTTTCAATCCAATATTTGGGCAAATCGCGTGCTTACATTAGAAATAACAAATTTGCATGCGCAAAAGACCAATAAGTGATTGCTTAGTTAATAGCCTCAGCCATAGTTAATCCAGTGTATTAGCCTCGGTGTACAAGTTCAGAACTACAAACTAGCGCACAGTTGGCGTAACTTTGTTTAGTTGCAGTATTTTTTTTTCATGGAAAAACACGGTTGTTGAGGAGCCTTTATGATTAATTAACCGTGACAAATTAAATTGCGGTTATAAGTGAAATTGATTAATAAATGCATCCCTAAACACAACAACATTTACCGTACATACTTTCACAGATTTTTTAAAATAAAAAAATTGAGTATAATAAAAAATACTTTTATGCTGCAAAAATGTTTTTCCTGGGTTTCTCATCAAAATTTATTTTTCAATAACTGGCAAGAAGACGTTTGCCGACACTGGTGAAAACCTCGAAAGCATGCCATGGTTAACCCTGAGGAAATACCTTAAAACTTAGTCTTACATTTTACCCCGCGTTACTTTGGGCCCCGTACTCCCCTAGGTGAGATTTTTTTCCCTTCCAGAAGCTGGCAATTTCTACATTTTAATCTCACATATTGCCTGTACTTAACAATTTAATAGGCATCATACTCACAGGGTCGACCCTTTATCCATAGGTTATCATCAGCGTGTGAATTATACATTGACAATCAGAGTGGTCAGTACTGTTTTTCAGTAGCAGTTTAGTAATACACGCTTCAGTGAATCAAATTTATGAATGTATTTAAATTTCTTCGAATTTATTAATAAAATGGGCATCACCGATGTGCAGTGGGTAGCATGATCGCCTCACAGCAAGAAGGTCACTGGTTCAAGCCCCGGCTGGGTCAGTTGGCATTTCTGTGTGGAGTTTGCATGGTCTCCCTGTGTTTGTGTGGGTTTCCTCCGGGTGCTCCAGTTTTCCCCATAGTCCAAAGACATGTGGTATAGGTGAATGGAATAAGCTAAATTGGCCGTAGTGTATGAATGTGAATGGGAGTGTATGGGTGTTTCCCGGTGATGGATTGCAGCTGGAAGGTCATCCACTGTATAAAACATATGCTGAATAAGTTGGCGGTTCATTCCGATGTGTCGACCCCTGATTAATAAAGGGACTAAGCCAAAAAGAAAGTGATAGAATTAATGTTTTCAGTATTTTGAGGGTTATTTAGTAACAATTTTAGAGGCTACTGTAGGTTAAACTATACAAATTGTGCGTCTAAATTTTTTTTTTTTTTTTAGGCTACATGCAGATACAAACTTCTATTTTACAAAATATGTGTCTATCGGTGCTCTAGAACGCCAAGTTTCAGACAGTTGGATTGTATTTGTCCTAGCATTGGTTGGCTCGATTATCCATTCACAATAATATAAACCTTTGAGGCGCTCAAATGTAAATTTATATTATACAATTTAAATTATTAATATTTAAGATATAGATCAGAGAAAGCTATTTCTTACTTTTAAACAACTGACCCCCCATAGATTTTGTTCTGATGTCCTCACGGGGAAGATTAAGTGTAATGTAATGTAATGTGTATTTAAATAGTGCATTTATTGTGTTTGGCCCTACAGCCAAAGCACTTCACAGTCATTGGGGGCATTTTCAACAGCACCACCAGCATGCAGCATCCATGTGGATGATGTGAGGGCAGCCACAGATCAACGACGCCAGTGCGCTCACCACACACCAGCAATTGGTGGAGTGGAGAGAAAGTGATAGAGCTAGTTCGGTGGATGGGGGTGATTGGGAGGCTATAATGGTTATATAAATGGTATATATAAAGGCCAAAGGGTAGAATTTGGACAGGACTCCAGGGTTAAACCCCTACTATTTTTTTCGAAGGACATCCTGGGATTTTTAATGACCACAAACAGTCAGGACCTCAGTTTAACATCTCATTTGAAAGACGGCGCCTACTGACAGTATAGTGTCCCTTTAAGTATACTAGGGCAGTCAATCCCCCCAAACGGCCCAGTAATTCGCACCCTGCTTATCCTTATTTTTACATATTTTAATTGCTTATTACTATTTATAAGAGAAGTGTAAGTATATTATTCAATCCAAGATGTGAGCCAAAAATTTATTTTCAAGAAGTGCACCTTAAAGGGTTAAAGGGATAGTTCACAGAAAAGGAAAATTCTCCAATCTTTGACACACTCCAAAATTACTTTTGCTGCTTGTTCAAACTACCTAGCCTATTTAAAATGAGCAGAAACAACACAATTCTTAGGGGCAGATCACTTGAATGTGCATTTGCGTTCCAAAAAAGCGATGCGCACCGCACTGCTAGGCAACGACTGAATCAGCTGGATATTTTGCGAGAGCAATGCTGTTGATATTAATATAACTCTAATTCATTCATTCATTCATTTTCTTGTCGGCGTAGTCCCTTTATTGATCCGGGGTCGCCACAGTGGAATGAACCACCAACTTATCCAGCAAGTTTTTACACAGCGGATGCCCTTCCAGCCGCAACCCATCTCTGGGAAACATCCACACACACAGTCATTCACACTCATACACTACGGACAATTTAGCCTACCCAATTCACCTGTACCGCATGTCTTTGGACTGTGGGGGAAACCGGAGGAAACCCACGCGAATGCAGGGAGAACATGCAAACTCTACACAGAAACGCCAACTGAGCCGAGGATCGAAACAGCGACCTTCTTGCTGTGAGGCGAACGTGCTACCCACTGCGCCACTGCATCGCCTATAACTCTAAAATCTAAAAATATTGTGATATTCAAGATTTGTGAAGTCATACAGCTCCAGATAACAGCAACCACAAGTCTCTCCTCCATCTTCAAAAGTCTCCCTTGTTGTCTTGACAACATAAACACTGCAGGCACCTCAACGGAAACCCAGCCTCTGCTTTCATTTGATTAGAAAATGAAAAAAACGCGAGTGACGTAACACGCTTTTTCCACTCCGAGTTGACTTTTTTCAAGGGAGAGCGCACAGCGTGCAAGGGCAAAAACGCAAGGCAACGCAGGCAGTTAAAAAGCAAGGCACACATGGCACATAAGCAGTGTGCAACACGCTCGCGGCCATTAGTAAACCATTCAAAAAAGGCGCCTCTCAATGCATAAAGCACATTCTTTGTGATCGGCCCCTTAAAGTGTTTTTGGTGATAACTTAATTATTTTTGGTAAAATCCACTTAAATTGGTAAAAACTAACAAGTTAACTTCATTTCTTCATGTTGTGTCAACACATATCGATTGTGTGGAACCCAGCATTTTTAACAGTGCATCCTCAGCTCGTCTTAAACTAGTTTTCTTTTGTTCTGTTGATCACAAAAGATGATATTATGATGAATGTTGGAAACCAGTAACCTCTGGCTTGTACAGTACTTGTTTTTATTATCAGGATGGTCAATGGTTTCCGACATTCTTCATTCTTCTAATCTTCTTTTGTGTTCAACAGAAACTCAAACAAGTTTGGAACAAGTGAAGGTTGAGTAAATAATGACTGAATTTTCACTTTTTGGTTGAACTATTCCTTTTACAAAGCGTAAATATCCTTGTATGTAAATGTAAATATAAATATGTCTTGTTACATGATTTCTGAAAACAAAAGTAGAAGGTATTGCTGTTTACCTTACAGTTTTTTAATTGTATAATGGTGATAGTCAAGATGTGGTCATCAAAAATTTATAGGAGGAGAAACATGCCAAGTCATCGTCCTCTGGATCCAGTGGTGCAGGACCATCCGCAAAAGTAAGATGTTGTTTTCAGTGTATGAACATCTACAGGATGAATAAATCATTGCATTACATTGTAGTATTTATGCATGACTCAAATTCCCCTTCTTTCTCAGGCAAAGAAACAACCAAGTGATGACCGGGATATAACGGTTAGTTGCTTTACATTATGTACTTAGTTTTAAACCCTGCCACAGTTGATATTGCAGTACTGTATGAGCATTGTGGACTAACATGCACAGACATGCTTGCAGGAGCTTGGGACGCGTCTAAGAGTTCTGCCATCAACAATGGAAAACAAGCGAATGTTTGACCAGGCGCAGGCAAACCAGATCCCGTCAGACACACATCAGTTTGCCTGTGAGTCATGTGACAGGGATTGGTGGCGACGTGTGCCCCAGAGGAAAAGGGTAAGATGTTGGACCACACCCTTAAAAACTCAAATCAGGCTCAGTTAAATCAAGGGCTGTGCTGGTGAATGTCAGAGGTTTGAAGTGGGATAGTAAATAAATGAAAATCTGCAGTCAGTTCCATCAGGCCATCAAAAATGAGGGTCTTTTTGTCTTTAGTAGAACATTAAAGATCTCATGAAATCTAAACGAAATTTGGTATGTGGGATTAAGGCATAGGGACATAGCGATGAGCCCTTCTGAATAGAACAAACTGCTCAACACTAAACAACTTCTCTGTGCAAAGGATTAAGACAGCCAAAAAGTGGCTATGTTTACATGGACATGAGTTATCAAGTTATTTGCCTCAATATGAATAAAACAATAATATGATTAATATTATTGTTGGCCGGCAGCTAGCTCTCTGCAACTATCACATGGTCGCCCACTGAAGCTATGCAGGGCCATGCCCGGTCAGTACCTGGATGGGAGACCACATGGGACAGCTAGGTGGCTGTCAGAAGTGGTGTTAGTGAGGCCAGCAGGGGGCGCCCAACCTGTGGTCTGCGAGGGTCTTAATGCCCCAGGACATTGATGAAGACTCTATACTGCTCAGTGAGCGCCGTCTTTCGGATGAGACATTAAAGCGAGGTCCGGACTCTCTGTGGTTGTTAAAAATTCCAGGATGTCCTTCAATAAAAGAGTAGGGGTTTAACCCCGGCATCCTGGTCAAATTTGCCGACTATCCTCTGTCCATCATGGCCCTATATCATAATTGGCTTCATTACTCATTCATTAGTCTCCTCTCCACCAATCAGCTGGTGTGTGGTCTGACGCAATATGGCTGTCGTCGCATCATCCAGGTGGATGTTACACACTGGTGGTGGATGAGGAGATTGCCCCCTATTGTGTAAAGCACTTTGAGTATCTAGCGCTATATAAATTTAAGGAATTATTATTATTATTATTGAGGTGTTTACATGAGTTCCTTTCATGATTCTGTTTTACATGTTACAACACATAACTGGATTAGCTTCATTGCGTTCATCTGGGTACATTTTTTTCATGCCCCCATGACAAACAAGATATTGGATGCGACTAAACTGCTGGAAGAGTGTAGTTTTAATGGAATTTGATACCGCATGCCATGTGGAGGAAAAAGCTTCACGGTGTGTGTGTCTGTGATCCTTTACTGACTCGGTAGGTGCAGAGAATAGTCACATACTGTCACAAAATGCAGCAAAAACCCTACACGACAGTAATAGTTTGATTGCGGTGTTTACATGTCTGTACTGCACGTCAATAATGTAACTAAAATCGACGTACTCCACATGTCTTAATTCGATTTCTCTTTAGTTCGATTATGACTTTAACCGTGTTGTGAAATCTACTCATGAACCTTCCTCGTTTGACCACCAGAGGGAGCCATCGCCTGAGTTCTAATTTCCCCAATGCTCAACTGGGATTGATTACATACAGCTGAAACCAATTTCAGACTCTCTATATATACGCACACATCCTTCACTCGGTGCGAAGTTTTGATTAGCCCCGGCCATCATCTCTGAGCGTTACCCTGTTGATTATTGCCTATCTGTGTATTGACCTGGACTGTCTTACCGTTTCCGAAGCTATCTGCCTGCCCTGACCACTGCATAGTTATATCGATTCCATCTGCCAGCCGCCTGCCCCTAATCTCCGCCTGTCTCTCGTTAAAGATTACTCTCTCCTAACCTCGACCCACGCCTGCTCTTCGACTATACTACTGGAAAGTTCCTATTTAATCTGATATTAAATGAGTTTCCACCTGTGAGTTATTACTGTTATTAAAGTGTGCATATGGATCCAGAAATGTCTGATGAATCATTACAAATCGGATTAATCAAAAATAAAACATTTCATGAAACTCCAAAGAAATGTGGATAGCGCAGTGACCCAATGATGTTAATTGAACTATGTGCTATAACATGTAAAACGGAATCATGAAAGGAACATTCAAAAAGCAACTCGTTTAAACGCCGTAATCTTTTTATTGTCTTAATTAGTTTAAGGCAAATAATTTGATTACTAATGTGCATGTAAAGCCACCGTCTATCAGTTGTACCTTTCAAAACCCTTCTTTCGAAGTAGCCAGTTTTAAGCACTTCGGTTTGTAACGACACTTCATTATGGCGGCCATGATACATCCTGCTTGGAATGCATTGCCAGTTTGCTGTAAGGTTGTCTAAAATTTGGATTTAGAAAATATATGCATTCAAAACGTGCACTCTCTCACTTGTTCCAATATGGATCCACCATTGTGATGACCTCACAATGCAGCTTCTCTTGAAATTTTCTGCCCAATCAAATGGCCTCTATAATTTGAAGCGACTCGTTCCTACTTTCAAACAAATGCTAAAGCTGCAGTTCACATGGACTACAAATGTATTGGACCCACAATTTTGGACTCTCAATTTTACACAGAATGCTTATGAAGATGAAGGTAACTTTTTTTCTTCATTAGAACAATAAAGAAGATTTTTGGCTACATCTGTGGTCCTTGGTGATTCATATTATCCAAGTCAACCCACCAAACAACTTTGTGTTTATTAGACATCTAATATACAGGGGTTTGGACAATGAAACTAATACACTGGCCAATTTAGTGTTGGATGTTTCATGGCTAAATTTGACCAGCATGTGACCAAGACAGCAAGTGTTGGTGATGTATCAAGAGCTACAGTATCCAGGGTAATGTCAGCAAGCTGCCAAGAAGGATGAACCACATCCAACAGGAGTAACTGAGGACAAAAGAGGAATCTGTCTGAAAGGGATTGTATTCAAAAAACATAAAACCACAGCTGCCAACTCCCAACTCACTGCAGATTTAAATGTGCATCTCAACTTTACTGTTTCCACCAAAACTGTTCATTGGGAGCTCCACAGGGTCAATATACATGGCTGCTTGCTATAGCCCAGGGGTGCTCAATCCTGTTCCTGGAGATCTACCTTCCTGCAGATTTCAGTTGCAACCTAACACACCTGACTGTAATTATCACGTGGTGTTCAGGTCCTAATTAATTGGTTCAGGTGTGTTTGATATGGGTAGCAACTAAAATCTGCAGGAAGGTAGATCTCCAGGAACAGGATTGAGTACCCCTGTTATAGCCTAACATTTGGTGATTTGTGCCAATGCCAAATGTCAGTTTCAGTGGTGCCAGTTTTGAAAACCTTGGGCTGTGGACAAGGTGAAACATGTATTGCTCTGTGATGAGTCCACCTTCACAGTCAGTCCCACATTCGGGAGAGTTACATTGTGGAGACTCCCCAAAGAAGTGCGCCATCCAGACTGTTGCATGCACAGAGTGAAGCAGAGAGGACTACTGATGAATTGGGCTGCAATATCATGGCATTTCCTAGGCCCAGTGCTAGAATGGGTGCATTACTGCCAAGGACTACCAAACCATTCTGGTGGAAAATGTGCACCCAATGGTTCAGACATTGTATCCTGAAGCAAGACAGCAAGACTGGTGGCAGATTGGTTTAATAAACATGAACGTGAAGTTAAACATCTTCCATGGCCTGCACAGCCATCAGAACCAAATATTATTGAGCCTCTTTGGGGTGTTTTGGTGGAGTGAGTTAGAAAACGTTTCCTTCACCAGCATCATGTAGTGACCTAGCCACTGTTCTGCAAGAAGATAGCCCAAAGTCCCTCTGGTCACAGTACAGGACACTTTCCAAGATGAATTAGTGCTGTATTGGCCACAAAAAGGATATGGCTAAAAATCTTTAATGTTCTACTAAACAAAAAATACCTACATCTTTGATGACCAAAGGGAATGTAAATTAGCAACAGATTTAAATAGTCAATGTCGTGTGAACTCTCCCATTCATTTAAATTGGAAAGCAATACAAAATGTTCAGGATTCTTCTATGTGACCTGTTGTCAGGTGTCACGCTGTCACAGATGCAAAAAGAAGTACGACCCTGTGCCACCTGACAGAATGTGGGGTATAGCGGAGTTTACCTGCCCAAACTGCACTCGAAACTTCAAGTAAGACTTTACCGTTAATTGTGGAATAATGTATAGCAGTGGTCAGCAAAGCAGCCCACCTGCAATAACTTGGATTATTTTGATAGCAATACACTGACACTTATTTTGATAGTAGATAAGAAACACTTGCTTTTCATTCACTAAAATAGCTAGGATGTATGCATATTGCCTCTATTCTTTTTTGTGTGACCAGGCAAACATCACTCGTTATACCATGTAATAGCATATCTCCAGCATGCAAACAATTTTTTTTAAATGTATTTTAGCACGTGATGATGCCAAGAAACTATTCTAATAAATTATTATAGTGTAAAAGCAGCCTGCTTTAAAATAAGTTAGGCTCCATTATGTAACATGTTAATTATTATGATACATTAATGATCTATTATACACAATATGGAAAGAGCAAAAACAATTTTTTTAAAAGCAAAACTCTACACTATATCTACACTCTATATCTTACAGAAATAAAGGTACAAGAGCTGTCAGAGGGGTGATATCTTTTCAAAGGGTACACATTTGTACTTAAAGGGTCCATACTGGTACCTCAGAAGTATATACAGCATTAGTACGTACAAATTTTAAAAGGAACTCTTTTGTATACTAATATTTACCCTTGGGGTATTAATATGGACCTTTCAGGTACAAATTTGTACCTTTTGAAAAGCTACCACCCCAGTGACAACTCGCATACCTTTATTTCTGAGAGTGTAGGATGCCATTTATTAGCTCATTCGAGTCCTCATTGTTAATGTATTTGTATCCGTGCCGCATCTTCCATGTGTGCTTTAGCAAGGCAGTCTGGATTGCAAGTTGGTAACTGAAGATACTTGCCAACTTAGGTGTCTCTATGCTGCTTTATTAATTTATCCAGTGTAAAATCTATACACAGCCATGTGGCTTTTTGTAATGACTGTCCTACTAGGACTAATAGTGCACGGCCAGTTACAAAAGACATGGTAACAGTCTGTCACAAGCAAAACTAGTTGCATTATTTATCAATTCATTTCTTAAAGCAACATTAAATGTAACTATTGCTAGTGGCTCCCCCTTGTGGTTGATATAATTGTCTGCTACCGGCTGAGTTCAAAACAGTGTTGCCAACTTAGCAATTCTGTTGCTAGATTTAGTATCTTTTCGTACTATCCTACCAACAAATTTAGAAATTTTTAAAATTCATGTGGCTACTTTTAGCAATTTTTTAAAAAGTGACTCAAAAGAACAGCGGCTGCAGGCTTCACTCAGCTAGCTCAGATTGTTTTTCATAACTGTTAATTTACTGATATTTGTTAACATGTATAATGTTTGGTATTTAGGTAGCAATAAACTTCAATAGTGCAATAATTGTCGTCACTGTCACAAATGCGTCAAATTCACAAGTTAAAAAGATACACAAGCTGTGATCGCTTAAATTTTAAAACAATATAGCTGTGTTATATTTAAAACATTTTTTAAAAATCTTATCAATAAGTATTTGCATTACTTTTACAAATAGTCAACTATATTTTTCATACAAATCTAAATTGACGTAAAAATAATGTTTCAAATAATTTTTTTGCTGAGATGGCCAGTCTGTTTGAAAAAACATTAGTTATTTTGTAAACTACATAAAGATGTAGTTTTGAGTTGCGATTACGAAATGACATCATGGAGTAAAGTAATATGTTAATAAGTACCTATTTATTGTGCATCTTGATGTAATGTTTTAATTTATTATAATATAATATAATATAATATAATATTTATTATAATATAATATAATATAATACACGGCGCCTCAGAGATTAGATACATTTTTTTTTTTTATTGGAATAACAACAGGCCATTACAACAAATAGAAACATAAAAAACTGACAGAAGTATAGTACAAGCAATACAAGTATTACTTTTTGCATCAAGAGAAATGTAACAATTTTGAAATAAATTTAAAAAGGTACAGTAAAAGAAAGACAAATAGAGAGAAAAAGAAAAGAGTAGATACATTTATTGTATTTTATTTATTTGTATAGTTTTTATAGCGCTTTTCGCAATAATTATTGTTTCAAAGCAGCTTTACAAAAGGTACACACTATTATATTAGTCAAATTCGATAAAGTTGAGGATATTAGTTACCATAACTTTATTAGTTACTAATAACTTTAAATAATAATTAATAGCTGTTAATAGTTGTTATTTTATATATATAGTAAACCTGCGGTTACATAGTACAAAGGTGATTTTTATGTGTACGTATTCAAAAAAGTGCATTTGTGTATTAAGAGTATGTGTTGCCTTTAAAGTCTTCAATGGTTAGCTTCATCTCTTCACAGGTATTGAATTTTAACTCGGAATGGGCATTACCAGGTGGAAATAAAAAAAAAAGAAAATATTTTGCGTAGTTGCTAATGTATAATGTTGTATAATGTATTTGAACAAGAGATATTAAATGTTAAGTTTATCTAAATTTTCCTGTCCTTTCATTTTGAAGCATTGTAGATTAATTTCAATTTAGTGGAATGTTAAATAAATCTAAACTATAAGATGGTATAGAAAGTTTGAAGTCTTTTATTTTCTGTCTGAAGCCTTTTATTTTATCACTGAAGAAAAAAAACATGTTGTCATCAATTCCAGACACACACGCACTCCACTAGTCTTTAAAGGGAAAAGCGCCCTCATGTTTCATCACAAATCCGACACTTCATATTTGGTATTATGTTGTTACCAACAGGCAAAAGATTCGGATTAACGGCAAAACGACTCTAGAGTGCTACGGTTCTCAATATAATATTATACTGTACAGTACGACCTCAAAAGTTCAATACACACTTGTGAATTACGGTTTTCTCGGTTTTGTGTTTAAATAATTTATATGCGTTTTACATCTCCCCGAATTGACTGTGTGTGCCTGTAAGTCCATGAGCTGAGATGAGGAAACTCCTCCCCGCTATTAAACATCCAATCACTAGGCTCTAAAGTTAGGGGGCACTTGACCATCATTCCACACTTGTCAGATACTACATGATGATGTCACTGATACGCAAATTAGTGTGTGACATCATCTGGCAACATTTAGCTACTTCTAAGACAGGCTTTAGCTACTTTTCATTGAAAATAGTTGGCAACACTGGTTCAAAAACCTCATTTGGAAATTATGACCTCATAATGTCCTCATAGCCTCTACATAGCGCTTTAAAATAACAGAGCCTCTTTATTTGAGAAACTATTTAGATGCCACAGAGTGTGAGACAAGGTCGTCTGATATTGTTCTCTCTTTGGTTTCTTTGTTTTGGTTTCTGGCTCCGTCATGTCAGTGGTTTTGAGACTAGCACGCTTTATCTTATAATTAGCTGTTGGCTAACTCCACCTAAGCCACAAGTAACAAATGTGACATATACTGTAAAAAAAGATTGCACTGTCCAATCATTATATTCAACATTTCTACATGTGTATGGTTACACTGGCTGTGGAGGGGTATTGAGCAAGGGGTGGTGGTTGTGTGTGGTGACCCAAGTATTCAAAGTTGCAAGTGTAGTGTTAGGCAACAAGAGGCTGGTCTGATTAGCATCTAGCTAATTTTAGAGTCATTATTTTATGCATGTTATTTAATTGTATATATATGTATATATATGTATATATATATATATATATATATATATATATATATGCTAAATACATTCTGACCCCTGATGTACAGCGTTTTTATTCAGTTTTAAATGGCAGAAACGGTGGCTCAGTGGTTAGCACTGTTGCCTCACAGCAAGAAGGTCACTGTTTCAAGTCCAGGCTAAGTCAGTTGGCATTTCTCTGTGAAGTTTACATTCATGTATGGATGTTTCCTAGTACTGGGTTGCAGCTGATATTGTATTTGCTGTGTAAAACATAAGGTGGATAAGTTGGCGGTTCATTCCGCTGTGGTGTCCCCCTGATGAATAAAGGGACTAAGCTGAAGGAAAATGAATGAATAAATGGCAGTTATGACAACGTTTTTATGAAAGGGCATTGTGTAATCATTTTATGTTTCTGTTAGGGGTTTTGGACGGATGGATGGACGATCCCCTTGTTATGGCTGTCGCTCAGCCATTTACCCTATGAAGATTCTACCACCAAGAAGGAAAAACATGATGCCTGGGCCGAAACAACGAAACCAGCACAGCTGCTTCGCTGAAGACTGTTATCATCGAATGGGTAATATATTGCTGTTCGTGACAGTGCCCACAAAAATTCTTCTCTCTAGCTTAAGTTGTCAGATCCTAAAAAAGTAATTGTTGGTTTTGTGGACCTGCTTACTTTATGGGCAAAACTTTAATATGTAGCAAAGTTATGTGTCTCCCTGAGGTTAGTGTACTCTCAGTGCTGGGTTGTGGCTGGAAGGGCATCCGCCACATAAAAAACATATGCAAGAGTATGCAAGAGTGCCATTATGGTAAGCAAAATAATCTTATGTCAAAAGAAAAAACAAGATTAATTTGCTTACCCCATTGGAAGATTATTTTGCTTGTTTTAAGGAAAAACTCACTTAATATTGGCATTTTATTTCTCAAAACAAGACAATTTGTTTTGCTTGTCTAGAAAATTCTCCTTAATATAAGAAATTTTAGATATTTAGACTAGAAATAAGACAAAAAATCTAAGCAAGAAAAGCATTTTTTGCAGTGTGGCAACGCCTGTTGAAGCAAGGAATAAGCTAAGGAAGTGTAAAGCTCAAGGGTTTTTTTGTGTCATCGAATGTAGACGAGAGATTCTCAGGAGTGCTTGTAAACATCACATACCTTTGACATACCTGGTAAAAACATCCAGAGTCTATAGGGAAAGTCTTGCTCTACAAGTTACATAGCAAGCCTTTCACATGTTGTAAATATAAAAAATGGCAAAACATAAACATTCGTACATAAAGCATAGTGACCAGCTGCATGTTCGTCTTCCCCAGAGCCCCATGTTCCTGGCACCGAATGCGTTCACCCGCACAGCAGACAGAAAAACAGGAAGCCTCGTGTGGTTTACCCCAGTCCTGCTCACATCAGCAGCGGATCCACTGTCAACACCTGTCTGAGTCAGGGCAGTCTGATAGAAAGCATCAATGAGCTGATTCTAGATGACATTGAAGAAGAGTCCGAGGACGACTCTGACAGCAGCAGCTGAGACCACCGCAGCAGAAAGACCTCAGTGCAGCTGCTGCTGTGAATGATAGCTTTTTGCTAGGATTTCAAATGAACAGGTAACAAATGCGTAAAGGTGTAAGCGGTCAGAATGTCAACATAAGTAATGCAGGTTGAATATGTTTTGTAATATAGTCGAAAATCCAGAAAATAAATTGTAACAGCGAACAGCTGAATTATGAATGGATTAATGCACAGGCTGAGTAATGGTAATGCTACCACAACATGATGCCGGGTGTATGGGAGAGAGAGTGTAACGTGCTCAGCAATTCTAAAAAATAATTCAGCCAACATTAAAGATTCTGTCATCATTTACTCACCCTCAAGTGCTTTTATATTTAAGAGTTTCTCTCTTTAACAAGAAAAGGACAAAAAAGAAGATATTTTGAAGAATGTTGGAAGCCTGTAGCCATTAACATCCATAGTCTTATTTTTATATTGTCTAGTGTAAATGGCTATTATTCATTAAGTATGTATATATACACAGCCACATACTCACCGGGCGCTTTGTTAAGTGCACTTTATTAATACTGGGCTGGACCCCTTTCTGCCCTCAGAACTGCCTTAATCCTTCGTGGCATAGATTCAACAAGGTACTGTACTGTATATATTCCTCAGAGATTTTGGTCATAATAGAATCAAACAGTTTCTGCAGATTTGTCGACTGCACAGCCATGATACAAATCTCCCGTTACACCACATCCCAAAGGTGCTCTATTGGATTGATATCTAGTGACTGTGGTGGCCAATTAAGTACAGTAAACTCATTGTCATGTTTAATAAACCAGCCTGAAATGATTCGCGCTTTATGACATGTCACATTATCCTGCAGAAAGTAGCCATTAGAAGATGGGTACACTGTGGTCATAAAGGGATGGACGTGGCCTGTTTCCTTTCTATCAGCTTGAACAAGTCTGGCCATTCTTCTCTGACCTCTGGCATCAACAAGGCATTTGCGCCCACAGATCTGCCGCTCACTGGATATTTTCTCTTTTTCAGACCATTCTCTGTAAACCCTAGAGATGGTTGTGTGTGAAAATCCCAGTAGATCAGCAGTTTCTGAAATACTCAGACCAGCCTCTCAGGCACCAACAACCATGCCACGTTCAAAGTCACTTAAATCCCCTTTCTTCCCCATTCTGATGTTTGAACAGCAGCAGATCGTATTGACCATGTCTACATGCCTAAATGCATTGTTGCTGCCATGTGATTAGCTGATTAGAAATTTGCATTAATGAGCAGTTGGACTGGTGTACCTAATAAAGTGGCCGGTGTATGTGTATGTATATTATTTAATACGTTATTAAAGTTGTGACATTACAAGAATAATGTGGAAATTAAACTTCTCAAAATTTTGAAAAAGAATGTTTATTAGACAATATTTTCTTTATCGTTAGATAAAGTAGAATTTTACCAAATCATCCACATCCGTTGTATGCATTCTCGCAATCCTATTATTTCCCTGAAAATATTGTTTATAATAAAAGTTTATTGTTAGGATATTTCAACTTTATTCTTGAACCTTTTCAAATTTATTCTTGTAATATTTATACTTAATTCTCACATTTTTGACTTGACTCATAATATTTCTCTTTTATTCTTGTGCAATTTCAACTTCATTCTCAAAATATTATGACTTTAATCTTGTATTTTTAGATCCTTATTTTTACATGACACTAAAACACTGTCGTAAGGGAGAGTAAATGACCACCAGTTTTTTTTTAAATTGTAAACTGTACCCACTGGCATAACAATCAATGTCAACCAATCAGAATCTAGAAACCAGCAGCACCGCCTTGTAATAAGCTCTTGTTTTGCAAAGTCACACATGAATGGCGGAAGGTCGAAACATACTTCATTAAACAAGGAGCAGCCGAGCGTCTCTTTTTGAGTGCAGCATTTAAGGGTGTGAGAATGAATGACTCTATAATAATAGACTATCATGTAAGACTCATGGACAGATTTTAACCCTTGTGAAACCTTATAATTATTTTTTTATTAATATTATTTGTTTTTTGTAATGATTTTGTCTGTCAATTGCATTAATTTCATCTTTCATAAGCATACAATGCATAACAGTGAACTCAGAGACCTTCAGGATAAAAAGTTCTCCACTAAAATAATTTATTTTCATCAATAAAATGTTAAGTTTATTACTGGTATTACTGAGTCTCAGCTGGGTCAGTTGCCATTTCTGTGTAGAGTTTGCATGTTCTTCTCGTGCTCGTGTGGGTTTTCTTTCGGGTGCTTTAGTTTCCCCCACTGTCCAAAGACATTCGCTATTGGTGAATTGAATAAGCTAAATTGACCGTAGTGTATAATCGTGAAGGAGTCTGCATGGGTGTTTCCCAGTACTGGGTTCCAGCTGGAATGGCATCCGCTATGTAAAACATATGCTGGACAAGTTGGCTGTTCTTTCCGCTGTGGTGACCCCAGATTAATAAAGGGAATAAGCTGAAGGAAAACGAATGAGTGATTGTACAATACATTCATGTTAAATCTATCCATTGTTATTATAACTTTCAATCTCCTGAAATGTTTCCAGTTTTATGTGTCCCGGCAGGCATGACCTATGAAATCCTGTGTTTTGAGTTTACACTTTACGCAACTAACGACACACTGGAACTCAAGAAGGTAAAAAAGCAGACCTCTGCAAACATTCACTGTTATGTCAGCTTTACGTAACACACGCGTCATTGGTACACAAATGTAGCATGATGACCTTTAATATTTCCTCAATGTAAAGCTCAGAGACGAAACCAAAGACAAACTGTTAAACCTTCTATTTATATGCCAAAATAAAAAAGATGGATATAGATTAAATGAGCTGACCTTTTTTTTTTCCTTCTTGCTTTTACATCATAACTTTGCGTAATCTTGCCTTTGCATAACAGTATATAATCAGAACAGATGTGAAATTGATTTTTGGTAAAACTTTAGTTTAAGTAATTTCCACTTTTAACTACTGGCTTATTATCTGCTCAATATTAAGATATAATTGGCGGTTTATTAGTAGTCATTAAATTATATAGTACTTAAAGTGACCGGCCACTTTATTAGGTGCACCCGTCCAACTTCCCGTTAACGCAAATTTCTAATCAGCCAATCACATTGCAGCAACTCAATGCATTTACGCATGTAGACATGGTCAAGACGATCTGCTGCAGTACAAACCAGCATCAGAATGGGTAAGAAAAGTGATTTAAGTGACTTTGAATGTGGCATGGTTGTTGGTACCAGACGGGCTGGTCTGAGTATTTAAGAAACTGCTGATCTACTGGGATTTTTATCCACAACCATCACTAGGGTTTACAGAGAATGGTTTGAAACAGAGATAATATCCAGTGAGTGGCAGATTTGTGGGTACTAATGCCTTGTTGATAGAAAGGAAACAGTAACTCAAATATCCACTTGTTACAACCGAGGTCTGCAGAAGAGCATCTCTGAATGCACAACACATCCAACCTTGAAGAGGATGGGCTACAGCAGCAGAGGACCACACTGGGTGCCACTCCTGTCAGCTAAGAACAGGAAACTGAGGCTACAATTCTCACAGGCTCACCAAAACTGGACAATAGAAGATTGGAAAAACGTTGCCTGATCTGATGAGTTGGGATTTCTGCTGCGACATTCGGATGATTGGGTCAGAATTTAGTGTCAACAACATGAAAGGCATCCTCCCTTGTATCATGGTGGTGTAATGATGTGGGGGATATTTTCTTGACACACTTTGGGCCCATTAGTACCAATTGAGCATTGTGTCAACGCCCACAGTGTACCCATCTTCTGATGGCTACTTCTAGCAGCAAAACGCACCATTTCTTACAGCATGAATCATCTCAGACTGGTTTCTTGAACATGACATTGAGTTCACTGTACTCAAATGGCCTCCACAGTCACCAATCTCAATCTAATAAAGCACCTTTGGGATGTGGTGGGTTGGTAGGTTCAAATCATGGATGTGCAGCCGACAAATCTGCAGCAACTGTGTGATGCTATTATGTCAATATGGACCCAAATCTCTGAGGAATATTTCCAGTACCTTGTTTAATCTGTGCCTTGATGGATTACAGCAGTTCTGAAGGCAAAAGGGGGTCCAACCTGGTACTAATAAGGTGTACCTAATAAAGTGGCTGGTGAGTGTATATGGTCTTTTGTGATTAACTGACCCACTACCTAAACCCAATTATTACGTTGCTGATTATCAATAAGCAGCAAATTAGTTCTTTATTGAGCTAAAAGTCTTAAATGAATAGTTTGTTAATAGCAGGAAATGTACCTAATAGTATAATTCTGTACAATTGATGAAACAAGAAACCAGGCAACACCCAACACCTTTTAAATCATCACAAAGCCCAAAAGAATAGATCTAAGATAGCATCAAGGCCTTTGTCTGATGTCTGAATGAACATGTTTTCGTAACTATTTCCTCATATAAATCTTGATTGCAGTATTATTTTGGGCCACATACACGGACTAGGTTTTTAATTTAGAATCAATCATTGTGGTCAATAAAATAATACAACTCAAAAGCAAAAGGGACTACATTTAATTTCTATAACTGTATTTAGGCTATAATCTTTGTAGAAAAGGAGTAAAGATTTTCCACCTGAAAAAATATCCCTCGTCCGCTCCAAGAAGTTAAGGAATGTTGACATTTAGCCTACTTAAACATCTGGATGACCGTCAAGTTCAGCTATCAACAATGCTGTGGTCAGTCTGTAGTCAAAAGCTTGTGAATGCTTTAATATATTTCAAAGAAATGCTAGCCATATCAATTATATCTTACACAACACATTAACATTTTATAAATGAACAAGATCATCACACAAATTAAACATTAGATATTCTGACTAATATATACACAAATATTTGTACATACATATACACTCACCGGCCACTTTATTAGGTACACCTGTCTGTTAATGCAAATTTCTAATCAGCCAATCACATTGCAGCAACTCAATGCATTTAGGCATGTAGATATGGTCAAGATGATCTGCTGCTGTTCAGAACCAGCATCAGAATGGGGAAGTAAGGTGATGTAAATTACTTTGAATGTGGCATGGCTGTTGGCGCCAGACGGGCTGGTCTGAGTATTTCAGAAACTGCTGATCTACTGGGATTTTCACGCACAACCATCACTAGGGTTTACAGTGAATGTTCTGAAAAAGAGAAAATATCCAGTGAGCGGCAGATCTGTGGGCGCAAATGCCTTGATGCCAGAGGAGAATGGCCAGACTGGTTTCAGCTGATAGAAAGGCGACAGTTACTCAAATAACCACTCGTTCACCATGTGATGAAGCGTGAATCATCTCAGACTGGTTTCACGAACATGACATTGAGTTCACTGTACTCAGATGGCCTTCACAGTCACCAGATCTCAATCCAATAGAGCACCTTAAGATGTGGTGGAACAGGAGATTCGCATCAGCCGATAAATCTGCAGAGACTGCTTGATGCTATCATGTCAATATGGACCAAAATCTCTGAGGAATATTTCCAGTACCTTGTTTAACCTATGCCACAAAGGATTAAGCCAGTTCTGAAGGCAAAAAGGGGTCCAACACGATATGGGTATGGTGTACCTAAACACTGTATATATATAAACATTAAAATTAAAGTCAAACCCACAGCTACAGTAATACATTTTGTAGATTTACAGTAACTGACTGATTGAACAAATAATTTTAAAGTGATCTCTTAATATTTTCATAGCTTTTAAGTATCCAGTTTGGTTCCCGAAGTTGTTATAACCTTAATAAAACCCTTTTTACCAATAAAAATTATGTTTTTTACTTCATTTGACATTAAATATACAAATAAAAAGTGATTTTTTCTTTTGTTACAAAACTACATATACAACAGGGATTTAAAAAGAAAGAAAAAAAAGAAAGAAAGAAATATTGCCCCTAGTGGTTAGAAAACTCTTACTTAACGTGCTTACATGACAGCAGAGCTGGGGTGTGTTTTGGAGGCGGGAGCAGATTTCATAACATTGCATGTACAGTATAAGTATCAGCCTGCAGGCACACATGCACACGTTTCCTCTCTGCTCAGCCTGAAGCTACAAAATTCTGCAACATGTGAGTACAGAAGCTTTTACTTTCCTGCACTGCTGCAAAAACACCATTTAAAGCACTTTAAACAAGCTGGAGTATCCTAGATGTGAGTTTATTCTTTCTGCTTTCATGTTTTTAAGGATTGGCTTGACAGGGGTGATCGTGCTGCTCATTGCAGTGACTGTAGATGGAAGAATTGGGTGAGATTCTTTTTTTTTTTTTAACTTTGCTCCATGTTTGTCTACACCAAACCCTGTTCCTGGAGGCACACCAGCAGTACATATTTTACATTTCTCTCTTATCTGACTCATTAATATCATGTTTTGGAGTCTTTTCTAATCTTCTGATGAACTTATTCAGGTCTGTTTAATTAGGAAGAGGTTGAAAATGTGTTCTGTTGGTGTGCCTTTAGGAACTGGGAAACACTACATCAGGCATGTCCAAGCTCGGTCCTGGAGAGCTGTTGTCCTGCAAAGTTTAGTTCCAGCTCCAATCAGACACACGTGGGCTTGCTAATCAAGCTCTTACTAGGCTTTCTAGAAACATCCTTGCTGGTGTGTTGAAGCAAGTTAGAGATAAAATCTGCAGGACACCGGCCCTCCAGGACTGAGATCGGACACCCCTGCACTACATGTATGTGACGTTAAATGTGATGTATTTGCATTTCTCAGAGACTCCACTAGTGAATCCAGTTACTGCTCCGAGACGAAAGAGTGCTTGCTGTTTGACTTGGTTTGTGCGGGAAGTGATTATGAGGTACAAGAATCAAGAAGAATAAATAGAAATGAAATGATGAGGTCAAACACAGAGGGGTGATGGTAATGAGAAATGTGCTCCTGCAGGTACGCCACTATGATGCTGCCAAGTGGGTGACCACAGAAGCTGAATCTTATGTCATGGAAATTGCGGTTTCAAGAGCATTCAGGAAACTTTTTAAGTACATCACCGGAGAAAACGAGGCTGGTGAGTTTGCACGGGGGTCAGATTTTTGCCTATTGTGGGGGGCAAGTGTCTCTCTAAGGAGTTTCTGAAAACCAGTGAACTAATGAACTGTTCTAATAAGATCAAACTGTTAGTTTTACATATTAAAAACAGAAACAATCACCGGAATATGCTGCAATATTACAACACTATTGTTGATTATTGCTGTTGAGATTGTACTGGCGATTATTAAGGGGCACCTATGAAGAAAATAATCTTTTGTAAGCTGTTTGGACAGAACTGTCAGTAGGTATAATGTGTTCACAGTTATATTGAAATGATATAAAGACAGGATCCAAATCCCTCCCATTTTGAGGCCCACCATAATGTGATGTAGAAGTGCGGTTTCCACCAAATTGATTGACAGCCGCGTGTTAACTTGTCTAATAGTAACATGTATAATCATATTACACAGGACATGCACAAAGCAACTGGCATTAAAAGATCTGTTCAGCTCTCTGTGATCATCAATCATCATCAAATGTGATCAAGAATGAGTTTTACAAGTTTAAAACTTTATTAAAACAGTGCATGTTTGTAATTACAGCGATTTTACTATCTTTACATTAACACCACAGCTGCATGTCAGTACAATTATAAAAGAAGATGCTTCAATCCTGGTTTGAGGACGTCAAATCAGGATTATTTTATACATTAATATAACAGATATCCATACAGCAGTAGATTTTAATTAGTATGCTGTCAAATTTGCCATGCAAAAACAGTGCAAAGTTAAAGGTGTGCACTACTGTGTGTGTCCACTGTGCTTGCATGAACTTTGTAACGATATTGTGTGCGGCTCATCGTTGCAGAAAGGCTTGAATTAACTCCCCAACAAATACATCAAATAATCATTGGGAAAGTTCTATTTGTAGTATTTCTCACAAATGTTATGTGAGATCTGGTTCTTTCAAGTCTGTCACTGTGCTGTTTATCTGACGCAGCTGAGGCAGAGATTGAGGCACACTCTAACAGGCATGTGGGAACAGTGGGTGGGGAACACTAGAATTAAAGGCACAGGCCACAAACACAGCTACATTGTGTTCAGAGCAGAAAATCCCAATATTCTAAAATTAATAACAAATAATCCGATGGGTGTTTTGAGCTGAAACTTTACAGACACATTCTGGAGACACAAAATACGCATCTTAAATCTTTAAAAAGGGGTAAAATAGGTGCCCTTTAAGTAAGGCGTGATGTACTTTACATCCAGTCCATTGTTTATTTCAGAATAAAGCCCAGTTGTATTCTGCAATACCAAGTGGATGGATGTACATCATAACTCTACTTTTTAACTCTTAACTAAACAATTTGACACAAAACATTGATCTGAGGAGTAATAATCTACCAGCTCTTTGATTAAAGCTTGCAGGGTGATTCATTTATTTATTTTAACTCCTCCTCTCAACTTTTACTGGCAGTAAACAAATGGTTGGAGGGGCATGGCTAAGCAGATTTCACCCAAGTCATGAAATGGAAATCATCAGATTTGTTTTGCCTTTAGTAAGATGGGACAGTAGTAGGATGTTATATAAAGTTAGAAATTAAAGGAAAGAGAGAGGACGTGATTGGAAAATGTCTGGACTCGTACTGACACTGTCCTCGTTACATTTCAGTGGATTCACTTTTTCCACCTTAACACTTGTTTTGTGCTGTTGGGGATGTTTTCATCCACTTTGAGGTGATTTAAGTCTTAATTTGGCCATTACTTTCTCTGTGTTTCAGCTAGCAGAATGATGTGTGACAAATCTTATTTTGACACATATTTTGAGAAAATGGTTTGAATTAAAAAAAAAAAAACGATACACGATGAGCAAATGTACTACCCTTTATGTTCGGGATGAAAACATCCACTGAATTAAACTGCTGTCAAAATGCATCAGATTTTTTTCTTGCATTAATCTGTTAATAAACCTCAGTCCTGATCAACATTACTAAATTACAGGATTTTAACTCTTTAATTGTCAAGTTCACAAATAATGTCACTGACTTGGTGAAAAAAAAACACAAAGGCCCAGTTTCACAAACAGGGCTTAGATTAAGCCAAGACTAGGCCTTGGTTAAATTAGGCTATTCAAAACAGATTTGTAAAAATGGCCTTAGAAAAATAATACTAGTGTGTACCTGGAGACAAAAAAATTACATTGACTTATTTAAAGACATCTCATCGCAAGTTATTTAGAGTTGAGACAGCTCAAACATTCAATTTAATCTTGACTAGCCTTAAAATTTGTTTGTGAAACCAGGGGAAAATGGTGTATTTTCAATATAAAAAGTAATTGTGGACTGGATTCCTTTTCTTTTTATCAAAGTCTTGGACATGTGAAACAATGTTGCCTTGAATGCATATGTTTTGATCAATTTTAATTTATTTCTCCCTAATTTACTGTTGGTGGCAGTTTTTGCGTCGTTGACTTCCATTATAACAACGTTTTTTGATTGCAAAACCATGACACCATATAATCCTGCACTTTTGATTGTTAGTGGTTTTCCCTGCTGGAAGAGGTCAAATTAGCAATTTTTACTGTTGATCATTAATTGGCACCATTAGCCCTTTGGATAGGCCTGAGCAAAAAAAAAAAAACGTTTTCAGAACTACATGGAGTAAACAAAAACAAAGTCTGTGTATTTATGCACCATCAAATGCGGTTATAGTAGAAGTCAATGGGGCAAAAACAGGCACCAACAGTAAATTAGGGAGAAAAAAATAAAATCTAACAATGTATCAAAGCCAATGCTGTTACTAATCATTCACATGTACAAGAGTGTGATAAAATCCAGTCCACAGTTACTTTTTATATTAAAATACTTCATGTGTGTTTCTTTTACTAAATCAGTGACATCATTTGTGAACTTAGCAATTAAAGAGTTAAAATCCTCTAATTTTCTAAACATAGTAGATTTGATCAGGACTGACGTTGATTGATTTATGCAAAGAAATGTGAAAAAAAAGAAGATCTGATGCATTTTTACAGCAGTTTAATTTGGTGGATGTTTCATCCTAAACATAACGAAAGGGTATTCAATTTAAACATTGCACAGGGGTTGTCACTAGCACTGCATGCTAAAAAAATATAGTTATTGCAAGTTTTGCTTTAATGGGGACTTTTAAATGTGCATTTATGACATGCACATACAGTATACGCATGTAAAGATTTAAAACCGTACACTTCACTTTAAACACATATACCAGCGTCACCGTGCAGTGCATTTGATAGGAATTTTTTTTTGTCAAAACAGCATGCGTATGTAAGACATGCACACTTTATTTGGTATCACTTTATTTTGATGGTCCATTTGAGTATTAGTATTAATGCTTAATATCTGCTGATACTGCTTCTTCAACAGGCATTTAACTGACTATAAGAAACTTTGCAAGTACATGTCAATTTACACTAACCCTAACCTAAAAGTCTACTTATAATCTAATAAGAATTAGTTAGCATAGATGCACTTAAACTGCACTTACTTAAATTCAACAAACAGACCATCAAAATAAAGTGTGATCAGGGCCGGCGTGTCCATAGAGGCGACCTAGGCGTTAGCCTAGGGCGGCAGAATAAAGAGGGCGGCGTCCCCGACACTACCCTCACCACCCGCGCCCTATTTCCGCGTAGGGCGGCAAAATAGAGAGGGCGGCGTCCCCGTCACTACCCTCACCACCCGCGCCCTATTTCCGCGTAGGGCGGCAAAATAGAGAGGGCGGCGTCCCTGTCACTACCCTCACCACCCGCGACCCTATATCTGCGTAGGGCAGCAGAATAGAGAGGGCGGCGTCCCCGACACTACCCTCACCACCCGCGCCCTATTTCCGCGTAGGGCGGCAAAATAGAGAGGGCGGCGTCCCCGTCACTACCCTCACCACCCGCGCCTTATTTCCGCGTAGGGCGGCAAAATAGAGAGGGCAGCGTCCCCGTCACTACCCTCACCACCCGCGCCCTATTTCCGCGTAGGGCGGCAAAATAGAGAGGGCGGCGTCCCTGTCACTACCCTCACCACCCGCGACCCTATATCTACGTAGGGCAGCAGAATAGAGAGGGCGGCGTCCCCGACACTACCCTCACCACCCGCGCCCTATATTCGCGTAGGGCGGCCGAATAGAGAAGGCGACGTCCGCGACACTACCCTCACCACCCGCGCCCTCAGTTATATTCGCGTCTAGTGAGGTATAATACCCTGTGCTTTTACTTTAGGGTTGAGGGCGGCGCGACCGTCCTTTGCCTAGAGCGGCAGTTTAGCTTGCTCTGGCCCTGAGTGTGACCCTTTATGTTTTTTGCAGTCAAACGAGATTCACTAAATTACTAAATTCAGATTTAGTAAACTCACTATATACCCTTGTTTTTTCTAGGTGCAAAGATTGACATGACCGGGCCAGTCACCATAAAAGTCAACGGGAGCTCGAACATGTGGCAGTCGTCAGTGTATGTGCTCAGCTTCCTCCTGCCCTCCAACTACCAGAGCAAACCACCCAGACCAACTGATCCATCTGTAAGTCATTCTCCAAACCCTCTCTGTAGTGTTAATGGCAAACTAATGCTTTTGACTTCTATTTAGGCCCACTTTACACTAGTGCGCTTTAGTTTTAAAACGTCGTTTAGAATGAAAACGATCCATGTTCCACACTAGCGTTTCACCCAACGTTTCTGAAAAGCTCTTTGTCCACACCAAAACACTGAAAACGCACATCACGTGACCACACACACACACACTGTCAGGCGCTCGTCTGAGCTCCAGAGAGCAGTGCATGTCGGACATTTTATCAAGGATGTACCGCTGGATCTCACTATAGTTGTTAAAGGTGATATTTAATTAATCTTGTCTCTAATGACTCACACTTGTACTTAGTAATTTTAGTGAAGACTTCAGATACTGTTGGTTGTGCACCTTTTTTACCGACCAACCTCCCACAGAAAAAGTGGTTGACGTGGTAATTTGTATTTATGAATTGGTTAAGGGTAAAACAAAGAACATGCGGGTCAGGTAGTTGATACGGTAGGCTTAATTAATTTGTTATGATTAAATTAATTATTCATAAATAATTAATTCACCTCCGCCTATGATGACAAGGTCATCATCCATTGTGATGTTTCACGTTATGCCTAGTTCAGACTGCGTGATTTTAGCCCCGATTTTGGCTCGCCGACAGGTTTTGAGAAATTGCAGACAAATGCCTGAAATCACAGGCAAATCGCTGCTCGTGCACATGAGTGACAATCACACAGTATGAACTTTCAAAGACGCGATCTGATTGAATCGCCGATGAGTCACCAATGCCTGCGAGATATTTGGCGTGCTTAATATCTGGAGCTGTCGGCGATTTAAATCTGAAAATAACATCAGCGATCGCCTACAGCCAATGAGAGAGCAGCTTTCACTTGTGTGTGTGCGCGTGTGTGTATACCTGCTGCAGGCCAGCGGGAGGCTGGGGGAGAAGTTAAAAGCGCTCTTTTTCGGTTTATTTGGATCCACGAAATGGAGGAAAACTAGTGGAGGTTTGACAGGACTCAGTAGCAACCGTGTCTGTTTGACGTTTCATACAGAAAGAAATTAGTTTATTATCAACGTTGAGGAGAAATGGCTAATTCCCTTTAAACCCAGGTGAGCAAACATGTACATGTTCTACCCCATTAAAGGCTTCTTTCTCATTATGTAGTTAATAACAAAAGACATACTACGTGTTTTTGGCTGAGAGACGTAGTTTGGACGAAGTTGTCGGCGATTCTCCCTATAGAAAGTCATGCAATGTGAAAGCCCCTGTCGCCGATCCATCTTGCAGTGTAAACAAAGCAGCGACGAAACGCAAGCCCAGATAGTCATGCAGTGTGAAAACATCTGTGACACGACTACTTTGAAAATCATGCAGTCTGAACTCGGCATTAGACATCGTACAATGCCAAATTGGTCGACATCGCCCAACCCTAGTCTGCTTAATATCTGCTGATACTGCTCCTATAAGACACTTTACAAGTTACATGTCAACTTGCACTAACCCTAACCAGTCTACTTATAATCTAATGAGAATTACTTGGCATGTAGAGGCAATGTTACTTAAATTCACCAAAACCTGCTAAAGGCACCATCAAAATAAAGTGATACCAACATTCTAACGCCTTTATATTTAAGGTAACAAAAACTGTCATTGTTACTATAGTACATATATAATTCCTGATATGTGAAAGTGAAGATTGATTTGTTGACATCAAGAACTCTGAGAATGAATAAAAGACTGAGGGCTCTATCTTGACGGTCCATGCGCAGAGCGCAAAACACAAGGCGCAAACACTTTCAGGGCGTGTCAGAACGAATTTTTGCTAATTAAAGGACGGGAAAATCCGCTTTGCACCGTGGCTCATGGTCTAAAAGGGTTGAGCTTATAGAGGTGTTTTCAAAATAAACCAATCAGAGTCTCATCTCCCATTCCCTTTAAGAGTCAGCTGCATTGCGCCATAAGCACATTTGCTATATACATGACGTAAAGTAAGTGTAAGTGCAAAAACTGAGCATTTCACTAGCAAACAGTTAACAGTTTTTTTTAACAGAAATGGATAGGTAAACTTCTTGTACGCACAGACATCCATTAGCCTATAAATAATTAATTTCGTTTGTTAAGCGGAAATATTTGTTTCAAAACTATTTCTAAATTCAGTTCTAATTTCCAGCAAACGAATAAATGAACAATAATAATGAAGTGTGCCCAAAAACCTGAGTTATATCCTAAAACATGCTGTGCCCCATATGGTCTAAAACCTGCAGGTGGGCAAATCTAAGCTTGTTTTTAATAAAACAAATATTAATATGGATATATTAAATAATACTGCTAATAATTATAACATTATACAAAAGCAAATTGTTATGAATGAACTGAAAAAGCCTCCCGAGATGAAGAAGACATAAAAGCAGTGATTTTTCATATTTATGTTGACTAGAAAATAATATGTTTTGTAATATTTTAATCTTTTATATTTATATATATATATATATATATATATATATATATATATATATATATATATATATATATATATATATATATATTCTTATTATATACTGTATATATCCTTCATATTTTAATTTTTTCATATGTAAAGATATTTGCATATTGCTCTACATCTTGTGTGTATTAAGGAGTGTGTAAGCGAGGAGCAACTCTGCGCTGGAGTTTAGACCGGGTTTGTTTTGGTCAGTTTCTCAAAATAGCAACGCACCAGCAATGCGCCTGAGAACGCCTTCCTTTTTAGACCAGAACGCCTATGGGCGCAAATATGAGCGCAAATGCATTTGCTATTTAAACAACGTGGTGCAAAACAGCAAAACGACACTTGCGTCAAGCTGAAACTAGCAAATAACATTTGTGATGCGCCTTGCGCCAGGTGTATGATAGGGCCCTAAATGTCTTGCCTAAAGGACTGAACTTTATTTTGTATATAGTATCTAATGATACAGAATTGAATTTATTTGCAGGTATACTTCACAGACAGTCCAGATATGAAGGTGTACGTCAAAAGCTTCGGTGGCTGGATGTTTTCACTCGTGTCCAAATATCAGACTCAGAGTCTGAAGACAGCGCTGGACAATGCACAGGCTACATATGAGACAGACTACCACTATAATGTGGGCTATAACAGGTGTGTGCGTGAGCTTTCAGTCAGTTCTGTTCCCCAATTTCCCTTTAAATCTGATGTTTAATCTGTTCTTCTGTGCGTGTTTCAGCCCAATGAAGATTACGAACAGGCACAATGAAGTGTGGTTTATTGTGAAGGGTGAGCCTGTGTGTCCTAAGAGTGAATAACTTCAAGTATTTGAGAGGTAAATAAGAATTCTGATTAACGAAACAATTGAAGAACTGTGTTTAATGTCTAATAGAGATTCACTTGTGTTTCAGAGCTACAAAGAACAGCAGTGCATTACCCTACACTACAGTCCCTGAAAACTAACCTTCCTCTTTTTATACATTTTTAAAATGTGTGTTATTTTATTCAGCATTAACTGGATTTTACACCATAAATACTTACAATTTTAACGGGTACACCAAAAAAATGTGCATAGCATTAACTAAAACTAAAAAAAATACAAGTGCTTCAAAATCTAAAGATATTTTAAAGAATGTTGGAAAGCCATTAGCAAAATAAATACTAAAGAAGTCAATGAATTTCCAACATTCTTCAAAGTATCTTATTTTGGGTTCAACAGAGGAACAATTACAGAATTTTCATTCACTTTAGGTCAAATATAGATCAAATAAAATGTCAAACAACAAGTCATGGCATTCTGTTTGTAAGCATGTGTTATATATAAAAAAAATAAAAAACAACTGTTAACACTTGTATAATTATTGTAATTATTACATTATATAAGTGTCGTGTTTAATTTAGATTTGTGTGTATATTACACTCATTGAAAATAAAGGTACAAGAGCTGTCACTGGGGTGGTACCTTTTCAAAAGATACACGTGTGTACTTGCTTTAACACCTGCCTTATTTAGTTTGGTGTAATCGCACTAGAGTTCGTTTTCCCTCTTGGTATTGTTTGTTTGGGCAGGTTTGAATGCAGAAATCGTACTCGAGTGCACACCAAAAACCGACCAAAAAAGCGTAAAAAAAAAAGTTTTCAAACGAACCCTGGAGCGGTTGGTTTTTGGTGAGAATACGATTGGAACTAAAGGCTGATGCGCTGTGCATTATAGGATATGGAGGAAAAATATTTGTTAAAAGTGCTTTACCAACATCTTTGGTAATCAACAAATCGTTGATAATATTTCCGCAAGATGACCATGTTGCAGTTTAGCTAAACTAATTCACCTCCTGAAGTGACGTGCGATGCATTAAAACAGTGTTTTCCAGCCGCGACCGCGCTTCATTCTCAATGTATAGCTTGTCTAAAGCAGGGATACAATCAGTCAGTGCAGTCGTCCCTCCAGAGTAAAAAGCGACATTTTGTGTCTGCCGGTTTGTTTACTTGCGGGAGTTTACTTTCGCACATAAATTCTGACCAATTGCTAAGCAGTTTAAGAACTGTATTCAACAACATCTGACCAATGAGTGATGTAGATTTTGTCACATGACTGCATTTTGGTTATTTTCAACTGGTTCAGACCATAGCCAGCAGTGTGGTCACTGTGATGTGAAAACGACCCAAAGACGCCTGAAAATGCAACAATGTATCATTTATTGCCCTTGGTCCGGACCAAATTAACCAAACTACAGATGTGAAAGCACCAACAAGGGTCTATATTGCTACCTCAAAAGCTTATATTTGTACCTAAACATTTTAAGAGGAACACTCTTGAGGTATTAATAGGTACCTTTTAGGTACAAATGTTTATCTTTTAAAAAGGTACCACGCCAGTGACAGCTCTCGTACTTTGATTTCTGAGAGTGTACCATAGAACAGATACACGTTGACAAAGGCCATTTGCTACATTTGACAGACTTAAAGGGCCATGAAACCCCCGTGTTTCACCAGGGTTTTTTCACACCTCTACTTCGGGAAAAGTCAGGAAAGTGGGCGTGTCCAGCTCTGTTTAGGGGGAGTGTCGGAGAAGCAAAAGAGGGAAGCGTTGTAAAAATTCGCATAAAAATGGGAGTTTTGGTTTGGGCATGCGCAAAACACACACACACACACACACACACACACAGGGGAGAAAGACAGTGACTGTGTTTACATGGACATCAGTAATCAAATTATTTGCCAAATTATTAAATGGTGGACTTTAACTGCAGTTTGGCTCTTTCATTCAGGAATTTCATTCATGCCCCTTCTGTCAAACTAGATATTTGATTCGAGAAATTGCTGTAAGCATGTATTTTTCATGCAATGTTTGTTACCGCACGGCGAATGAGAGAAAAAAAACCTCCGCATTTCTCTGAAACTTAGATACACTCGGTAGATAACATCATAAAGCCGCGTGTTTTGTTTCTGTCACAAAATGCAGTGAAAATCCTACACGACGGTATGTATGATTGTGGTGCTTACATGTTTACACTCGGAGAGCAGCATTTACAGCAGATCTTTCAGTCCATAATATTGTAGTGATGTTAACGTACGGTAAACTTTAGTAACTTAGAAATCATTTGACTAAGGTCCGTCTTTAAACACTGAAAGAGTGTTGCTGATGATACGAACTAACTATGCCTCTGAATGAACAAACAAAGACCACTGGTCGCTCACTTACCAAATCTGTATCTTTATTAAGAGGAGACGAGCAGCAAATCCGGATCTCACCATTTCCAGATGAGAAAAGCTCTCGGGTAAACAATGTTCCTTAGACACATATTTCTATGGCGCGTTGCGTGCACTGTAATCCACACATGAGTCCAGCTGCGCTCTTATAGACAGAAAATGAAAACAATACCTTCACTGCTGCAAATTATAAAAGCAACACTGCACGTTTGTTTTGGCAACACAACCTGGCGTCTCTGCCGTCTAAACACTGTAACAGGTACAAACACTCTTCGAAGCTATCATGCATATTAATGAAGTTGCGCCGCATACACAATAGAGCGCACTGATTGGTTTGAACCAAGTCTTACTCATGAATGAATGCAGCACACTTAGAGATGTAATAAGGCACTCCCAGGTACAGACATCCAGTCCACATGCTGGAATACACGCTAGGATCTCATGACCGTGACGCAGATTCAAAAATTCGTTCTAAAGCGGAAGTACGAATTTGCTCGAAATAATGCAAAAACAACCAGTTTTTACGTTTTAGTGAAATATATGTGTCCTAATAGTGTTTTTAGCAGTGTGGGACACATAAACGACTGTCAACAGCTCAAAAAATGTGTTTTGGTGATTTGTTACCCTTTAAGGCTATGGACACAGACAGTTGATGTCTGTTGCACGGATTCTAATGATTCTGTGATGCCGTAAACAAACGCTACAGAAAAACAAAAAACAAATACAACTTTATTATTAAATTTAACTCAACAAGAAAAAATATATAAAGTAATACTATATGTAACAGATGCCAGCCAGTGCAGTGCTATGTAGGTAAACACACTCCTTTGACCTCTAAAGGTGTTCTAGTGAAAGACTCTAGAGGCCTTTGTCTTTAGCCTCCTTTTTAGAGCAGTCAACCGACTCCCATGCAAAGAATCACTGGTTCAATCCCAACTCAGACTGAATTTGGTGCAGTAGGACCAGTGGGATCCATGTGGGGGCTCGTCCGGGATGGCAGTGAGGTTTAGGGGGGGTGAGTGTAACAGGCCAGCTAGTAAAGTGCCATGCAGGTAATTCTCACTCGTTTGACCTCTAAAGGTGTGCTAGCGACAGATGCTAGAGACCATGGTCTTTACCCCCTTTTGTTAGAGCAACCGACTCCCATACAAAGAATCGCCAGTTCAATCCCAGCTCAGACTGAATTTGATGCAGCAGGACCGGTGGGATACATGTGGGGGCTCGTCCGGGATACAAGTGAAGTTTAGGGGGTGAGTGTAACAGAGGATAGCGAACGAAGTGCCATGCAGGTAAACCTCACATTTTGACCTCTAAATGTGCTCTAGCGACAGACGTTGTAAGAGCAACTGACTCCCATGTAAAGAATCACCGGTTCAATCCCAGCTAAGACTGGTGGGTCACATATAGTAGTACTCAATTCAAGCATCTAGAAATGAAACGATGTTGTATTTTGTTGTGTATGTTTACAAGTGTTGTGTGAGGAAATATTAAAGTAATTGAATTAAGTTAAATCTACTCAGAGAAATCTGGTGATTCCCATCATGCTGACCCAGTGCGTTATGCGAATCACCAGACTTTGGAGCATTTCACCAGGAGCATTTCTCATGGCTTTCCGGTTGTATTTACAGCATTTTATCACTGCATTTGTTGTTAGGCGTACACTGTAAAAAATACTGGTTGCCTTAAGCTGTTTTAAGTCAGTTTAATATAACGTAAGTACAATGGACTCATAGGGTTAATTTGATTTAGCTTAAAAATTGTATATAACATAACTTATAAAGCTTGTGTAACCTATAAAATGAAGTTAGAACATGGTTAATTTAGATTAATAAGTTACAATTAACTATAAACATAAGTTGCCATGACCAAGTAATCATATCATTTTATACAGTTCAGTAACATTCTGATTTATGACATATATTTATGTGGAGTGCATCTGCTCAAAATAACTCATTTATACTTTACTAACATGAACAACAATGAACGGTACATTTATTACTCTATATATTCATCTTTGTTTGTTTTAGTTAATGAAAAAAAAGTTGTTCATTGTTCTTGTTAACTCACAATACAGTAAGGTTGACAAGCGCTACTTTGAATTTCAATAATGCATGAGTAAATTGAAATTAACATCAAGTGTAATCAGAGCCGGCCCAAGGCATAAGCGAGCTAAGCGGCTGCTTAGGGCCCCATGGCCACCAGGGGGCCCCCAAGAGTGCAATAAATTACTAACTTTCGTTTTTGTTTTAGTTTGTTGGAGAGTTTGGTTATAGATTGGGTGGTGCAAATATATCAATATGCTCTGGCGCCAAGAATCGATATTTATCTAAATGTACAAAAGATCTGAATTAATTAATTAGTACACCCAGCTGCCACCAGGTGGCTCTTCCCGTAATGGTGGATCAACAATACATCAGAGACGCAACAGCCTTTTTAACCACTGACAGATGAGCGATTGCAATTGTGAAACTTCATACAGGAATATGGGCTCACACTATTTAATTCCGTCAAAATATATAAAGATATCAATAATAGGACAAGAACACATAAAGGGTTTTTCATTCATTTAACCCTTGCAGACCTTTGCAAAGTCTTGTAGATGGTATTTTTGCTGAAAATATTAGATAAATTAAAAAGAAAAGCTTAAAAATAATGCTCTTTTTAAATTGATGAGTAAATAACTAATGTTCTCCACTGCTGGAGGCATTATAAGTGCTCAGAGGAGTCTGTGCTCACTTTTCCGAGTATTCCAATCAGTTACTGTTCTTGAAGAAAATATATTAATCTAGTGGCAATGCAAAATTTTGCATGATTAAAAATAAATGCATAAAATACATCAAATAGGTTGGCCAAGTTGTAATAAATGTCTTTAGTTTAAAGAAAACTAGAAAGCAATAAATTGCTATTTTAACTGTTTTCTAACATGCACAGTTGAAGTCAGAATTGTTAGACCCCCTGAATTATTAGCCCCCCTGTTTATTTTTTTCCTAATTTCTGTTTAACGGAGAGAAGATTTTTTTCAACACATTTCTAAAAACTGATTTATTTTATTTTTTGTCATGATGACAGTAAATAATATTTGATTAGATATTCTTCAAGACACTTCTACACAGCTTAAAGTGTCATTTAAAGGCTTAACTGGGTTA